TGATATTAGATATACACTTCTTAAAAGTTGGAAATAAAAAACTGAAGGTAAGGTAAGTAATTTGAGTCTGCTTATATGCTCTCCCCTCATAATGTGTTATTTTCATTTTCATATGTTATAGTTAAAATATATCACCATCAGACTCAAATTGATCTTGGGAAAGTCATTAACTCATCTGAGCCTGTTTATAAAATGGCAACAACATTTTTTTTCTTAGGCACCCATTTTTCATATTTTCAAGAAGGAATAAAATCACAGATGTTACCTGAAAGTGTTTGGTAAACCCCATGCACTATACAAATACACATTATTTTTGTTACTCTGGGTCATCAAAATAATTAGTGGCAAACATTATCTCTGTGTAGACTGACAATATTCCTGTGTTCTCCACAGCAGCGTCTACGTGCAAAACTGTTTTATCTTTTTATGCTTTCAGATATTCTGGTTGTGCCTTAGCTATTAATATCATTTCCCATTTCTGGAAAAGGGAAATTGATGATCAAGCTCTTGATATGGAGCTAGACTTGACATTCTGATGAACATCTCAGGTAAGTTAAACTTCCCTATAAACTGGAGAAGCCTAATCTAATTGCTGATGTCAAATACTTTTGCACGGTTGATGAATTCAAAGTACAGTGTGAGATAAGAGTTCATCACCTGTATAACAAGCAGCTGTCGCACAGGCTGCATGTTAGGGCAAGAGCTCAATTCTGCAAGTGCATTGGATATGGCCAAGAGACAGATGGCCAACAGGATGCTGGCCAAGATCTTCTTAGTGACCAGGGAACTGCCTTTTATTTAAGATGAATTATTAAAGTTTAATTTAATGAAAAATATCATCTACTTATGTAAATATTTGTCCTTTTTGCATAACTATTTGTCTACAATTTTCTGAAGTTGTATATTTTAGAAAAAATTAAAAATTTTAACACAAGGTTCCACCAGTCTTAATCTGGAAAGATCCAAAATAGCAAGTCAGGTAGGTATATAATTGCATTGTGTTAAGGGAAGACGTATTTATCTTTTACTTTTAGGAAAAAAGCAACATAATGACTATTACACAAATTAATTAAGTGAAATAGATAACATAAAAAGAACAAAATAATATACCATGAAAAAATAGAAAACAATAAACTTGTTTTCAGCTTTGACTCAATTAGTAAATTCACTTGTTTATTCAAGTCAAATTTTAGTTATGGCCACACAGATTATAGTAATTTTCTGATATTTATTTCACATGATTTTTGGTAATTTTATTATGTGGCTGTCTGTAAGTATATATAAAGATACAAATATGTATGAAACTTAAAAAAAAGTAAAATAAAACATGTAAGTTTAATAAACTATACAGTTATGTGAGTGCTTATATAATTATACATGTAAGTGTGTTTGCACACACTCATGTATCTGCACACAAGAATCCTGAAAGATAAATGGTTGTATAAACATGTTTGAACAAACTTTTGGAGAGGTATACATGCAAAGAAACCTATCAAAAGCCATTCCCCTGACAGATGTGCTCCAGTATCACAGAGGACTCATCTCTAACAAGGAGCCCCAAGGTGCCACCTCTGTCAATGCTCAGTATCACATAGCACTCACAATAAGGAACCCTGATGAATTTTAGATGCTTAGCTATACACTGTGTCTGACAGAGATTAAAACTTGTTTAGTATAGTCTTTGTTTTCAGAATTTGGAGGCACATTCTAAATTTTTAGCCACTGTGGAGTCTTACAATGTTAGACATCCACTGTCGATAACATTACATTAACAAGACAACCCTGCAGGCCAAGGTGGTGCATACCTATAATCCCAGCAACTCAGGAGGCTGAGGCAGGAGGATCTCAAGTTAGAAACCAGCCTTAGCAATGTAGTGAGATCCTGTCTAAAAACAAAAATATAAAAGAGCTGGGGAATATAGCTCAGTGGTGGAGCACCCCTGGGTTTAACCTCCATTACCAAAATAAATAAATAAATAAAAATAAAAATAAAAATACACTCCTTTCCCTGATCATTCTAGAAAAATAAGTTTACTTTAACAGCCAAACCAATGTTATGTATTTTTGTAGGAGCATACTTTCTAAATTTCTCTTGACTGTTTACATCTCTCCAGCTCCCTATCCCATCAAAAGTCTAAAATATTGGGCCACCTTATGGGGGACCACAGCAAGAGCCTCCATCTGCTCTCCTTGCACATGTTACTGGAATATTCTCGCCCCATCCCCACATTATATCCAGCTTCAGCTCTACAAAATGCACCACTGATCATGTCATGTCACATGCTCAACAGCTTTCAAGTACATCCCACTGCTCTTGTGAAGTACCCTGTGCCTGAAATACTCTTTACCCAACTTCACTCCTAGTTTTCCTCTAGTTAATTCCTAATGATCCTTCAGATTTCAGTTTGGAGCTCATGTCTTCTGTCATATGTTTGCAACACTACAAGGTGCTTTTTATATACAATGCACTTGATTAGCACTCATGTCCCCTAGAATAAGGGAAGCTCCATGGAGCAAAGGTCCCAAGGAAAATGTTGGATAAAATAAAAAGGCTCAGCCAGAAAGGCAATAGACATAGTTTGCCAAAGTACTACCTGGGTTCATCTTAAATCTTACAGTCACTTAGTAGTATCATTTCTTTTCTTACTTCTGTTCTTTCTTTCTTTTTTTTTAATTCGCACTTAGGATTGAACCCAAAGGTAGTTTACCACAGAATCACAACCTTTTTTATTTTTTATTTTGAGACAGAGTCTTGCTAAATTGCTTAGGGTCTTACTAAGTTGCTGAGGCTGGCCTTAATTCTCTGATCTTCCTGCATCAGCCTCCCGAGTGGAGTTGCTGAGATTTCAGGCATGAGCCTCCATCTCCAGCAGTTGTTTCTTTAAGCTGTATAAGGGCTGGGGATGTAGCTCAGTGGGTTTGATCCCCAGGACCACAAAACAACACTACTACCAACAAAAGCCCAACTGTCTAGCTCCTACATGCTTCTTTCAATAAAGCACAGACTCCTGACAACAAAGCCTCAACTGGAAGAATGACTCACTAATAAAAACCATTAAGTAAATTTCCATAGCATCCCAAGACATTTTTGTACTGCCTGGCTGGTAAGAAGTTGTTGGTAGGCTCATGTGCTCTGTATCACTGCCTTTTAATTTAAATTTCCCTTTTAGGAGGTGTTTTTAATATCACTGGATGTGCAGAAATCTGTTCCGAATTTATATAATTTAAAATCAGTCTTAAAAGTCGGTGATTTATGAAGAACCCTGACTTGATGATGGTTTACAACATTTTTCCCTCCTGACAGGAGACCCATGCTGAGAAAAATAAAACGTCCCAGTTCTCCCTAATGGAAACAGAGCCGCACAGACAAGTGCAGCTGCTGGAGGTTGCTGACATCGCCAGGAAATTCTAAAAGCAAAACCAAGGTGGGGCTGGCACATCCCTGGGCCTTTCATGTACAATCCTGAAACGTAAAACCACGGAATTTTTAATGTCAATGGACACCACTGTCAATATTTATGTAGGCACTTTCATGGCGTATATTACAGAGATTAAATAGAGGAATACTCACTTCGCAGGAGATCCCAGTGGAGATGGACTTATCTGCTACATACTTGGTTTCCAGCTTTTGGAGACGCCCTTGAGCTTATTATGCTATTTACTAATGATAACAAGCCTGTATATGTCTTCTGTTATGGGAGAGTGAACTCGAACAAAATTTGCTGAACTGATTAATGTATATTTATGCCACAAGAGTCTCGGGCTGGATTTACAGGCCCAGAGTTGGTCCCTTCTTTCACACAGCAATCCATTTGACAATCATCAAGAACCTACTTGTTGACATTTTTTTTTTCAGTTTATGAGCTAGTAATGGACCTAGGAAGACAAGCAGTGAACAGTACCGTCCTACAGGTAAATTAGAATTTTCTCAGAATATACCTATAGGGAGCACCCATCCAATTTCTTTGAGGTGTTGAACTCATCGTGCTCTGACCTGGAGAGTTCTATCAAATACACAGGCATATCTGATATCTCAATGAATGTCATTTAATTAAGAGTAATTCGTATACAGTTAATCTTAAAAATTAAATATATGGCCAGGCACAGTGGTGCACACCAGCGGCTCAGGAGGCTGAGGTAGGAGGATCGCGAGTTCAAAGCCAGCCTTAGCAACAGCAAGGCTTCGTGGCTAAGTGCTCCTGAGTTCAATCCCCGGTACTCCACCACCTCCCCCAAATAAGTTAAATGCATTATAGACTATACTGAGGCATAATATTGTGGAATCAGAAATCTGACTGTAAACTCCTAGAGGGAAGCCATGAGTTTCTGTATAGAGAAGGCCATTGGCACATGTTTGTTACATTGAACTAACTGTGGGCTGGGGAAGTAGCTCAGTAGTAGAATGCTTGCCTGGCAATGACATGCACTATGCCCTGGGTTCAACCCCCAATACTGCCATCCTCCCCCGCAAAAAAATGAACTACCTGCCATATCTCATGAAAAGACACAAAGTTTCTGAATAAGAGTTGGTATGTATTTTGAAATCCGAGGAGTCAAGGATTCAAATGTGAAATGATTCTGTCCCTACATATTTCCAAATGCTTATCTGGTGACGCATTGTAAAGCAACATAGGACAAGTTCATTGAGAGTAATACTCAGCCCAATGTAAAGAAGATAAAAAGTGTTGGTGCCCTTTAAACTTGCCATTGGGGGCTCAACTAGATACCTTCCTTCTCCGTGTTCATTCATGCATTAGCATACGTTCATTGAGCACCTACTATCTATCAGGCACTGCCACAGGTGCTTGGGATACATCACTAATTAAAAAAAAAAAAAGCAAACTGACACTTAATTTATCATTCCAGACCTTTTAAATTACCTTTTTGGTTCCCATCCTGTGCCTATACTTGTGCAAAATATTAAGAACGTGACGAAATCCAAAAGGAAGCTGTTTATAAACATAAGAAAGCTGAAATTGTTCAGGTACTGTGTATCTTACCTTGTAGTGAGTTGAAGATGGAGAAGAGGTACATGAAAGCTATATTTAAGGGTCCCCAGGCAAAGAAAGCAAAACCCCAAGTCATGCCCAGCAGGAAGGTCAGGCTGACCACGCTGCGCAGGTTCCTCAAAACCTCTTCTCTCAGGGTCCGGTTGCTTCTCTTGCCATTCCTCCCACAGATCTGCACCATCACCACAATGAACATGGCGACGTTGAGGAAAAACATGACTCCAAAATACCCGGCACAGGCCACATAAAACACCACTGGGTCCTGAATCCAACAGCTCAGAGAGAGAAGAAGAAATGAGAAAGGAAAAGAGATTTATTACCTTAGACTGTGTACTTAAGACTTCTCTTGGCTTCCCTGGGCTGACTGCAGACTTCTCTCTTAAAAATCTTTGGGAAGTCATTTCACTTCCCTGGCCTTCAGTTTCTTCTTTGATCTTTTTATAGATGGTTTTTTGTTTGGTTTTGGATGGCCACCATCTTAATATCTAATTAGTTCAGTCAACATTAAAATGAAAACAAAGTGGCTTCTTGAATTCTAATTAGGTATTTGAACACGCTTGGTTGGCTCACCCCAAACTATGTTGGAACTTTTCTCTAGTGTGCTTTGTACTCTAAGAATGAGAACTTGAAGCACTCATTTTTGCTCATTGTTGTTATGGGGCATCCCTGTGAGATTTTTCTACAAAATAATATGGAACTAGAAATCTGCTAAGGGACTTTGGGGATAGCTTTTCTTGAGAGTCTCAGTTGGCAAGGCCCCTATTTATTCTTTGTATTTAAACATGAAAATGAGCTAGAGGCCCAGAAAGCTCTAAAGTTGTTGGCCTCTAACTCTGTAGACACAAATTCAGTGTCACTGAATGCCACATTTCTTATCATGTGAAGTTAATTCTTCCTTATTTAAGTCACAACTAAGTATGGATTCATTACAGCAAAGTAATTCCTATCAATATGACTAGTCTAGTTGGGACAACACCTTATAGAATTTTGACATTCTTACATGGACACTTATCATGCACAATTATAAAATTTATATTAATTATAAAGCATTCGTATTGGATGAAGAAGGATATACTATATATTTAACACTCAGAATGACATACAGATGAGAAAATGAAATGAATTTGAAAACTACTTGTGTAAAGTATGCTATGGGTAAAGTTGACCTGCATTATAATGTGTAGATGCCTGAGTACCCAATTTATGCTATGGAAATTCTTAGGTACAGTTGGATGAATGATTTAATGTGAATGAGTTTATTTTTAACTTCAAGTGTAAATGGTCATCATTTTGGAGTATTCCACACTGGAGCTTATCCTTCACGGAGGCAAAAGCTGTCTTGAACATCTTGGGATCCTAGAACCTACTGGCATATAGTAAATACTCAATAAATGAGAAATTGTTGATGTCACAGCAGCAAATTACTAAGTGGCACTTTAAAGTCCTGTAAGAACTGGCTAGCATACTTTTTAAGTTCCTTTATTTGGAAATTTTAACACATTTTTAGTTCCTTTATTTGGAACTTATTTTATTAACTTGTTTTATTTGTAACATATTTTATTAAGGTCACAAATAGCACTACTTATCCCTGAAGTAAACTTTTTCATTATACATAGAAGTCCCTCTAATCCTAAAATTTTCCACCTAGGTCCAACATTCCCCCTAGTTCCTGTGGGGTATTTCCAGTGTCATGTTAGAAATGTGAAAGAAAGGAAGACCATGAGGGAAGGGTGCACAGGAGACCACCGACAGGACGCAGCTGTGTGACCCAGGCAGGAAATGTTCATGGACAGGTGGTGCTATGGACCTCCTTGCAGGAGGAGAAAGCTCTTTGCTCGCTCAGCATCCATCTAATCCACAGACATGGAGCAGCGTGGTGTCACTGATAAGATACAAGAGCATACTCCCATATCCAAACACTAGAAGACCTGAAGTTCAGCAAGCTCACTGTGTGAAGAAAATTTTCCAAATTATTTAAGAACTCCCTATTCTCCATCTTCTACATTTCTCCATAGCACTCACAATGACATTGATTGATTCACTGTAAGACACTGCTACTGAACTCTCCTGAAGATGAGTGTGAGCCTCAGGACGTAGGACTACTGTGGACTTTTCTCAAATAGGATGGGTCTCCTGGAGGGAGGAGGCAGTATCCTATGCTGCTCCTAAACTCCCTGGATGACGGAGTATCATGTTAGCATAGAAAAGCAGCTAGATAGCTGGGTCAAATGGTGGTTCCATTTGATCTAGCTTCCCACTCCCTGGTCTATACCCAAAGTATTTAAAATCAGCATACTATAGTAATGCAGCCACATCAATGTTCATAGCAGCTCAATTCACAATAGCTAAACTGTTGGAGCAACCTAGATGCCCTTCAATAGATGAATGATTAAAGAAACTGTGATATATATACACAAAGGAATATTACTCTGCATTAAAAGAGAATAAAATTATGGCATTTGCAGGTAAATGGATGGAGTTGGAGAATATCATGCTAAGCAAAGTAAGCCAATCCCAAAAAACCAAAGGCCCAATGTTCTCTCTGATAAGCGGATGCTGATCCATAATGGGGGCGGGGCATGGGAAAAATGGAGGAACTTTGATGGGGCAAAGGGGAGGAAGGGGTGCAGAGGGGGAGTGGGGGTAGGAAAGATGGTAGAATGAGATGGACACCATTACCCTAGGTACATGTATGACTGTACATATAGTGCGACACTACATTGTGTACAAGCAGAGAAATGAAAAGTTATGCTGCAATTGTGTACAATGAATCAAAATCCATTCTGCTGTCATATATACCTAATGAAAATTAATTAATTGATTATTTAAAAAAAAAGAAAAGCAGCTTGAACACATCAGGACATTCAAATAAACCCATCTGCGGAGTAGCAGAGACCTTGACAATGTGATGCAAATGAACTAAAACCTTTTAAAACAAGAGCCTCACTCTGGCATGGGAACGTAATACTAAGTTTAAGGAAACAGGAGTATGTCCCTCACAAGTAGGTTCCCCAAGTTCATATCACTTACAATTCATCACCTTGCTCTTTCCCGTAGCTTTCTTTTCCATAGACTTCATTTTGATTTTTGCTTGCCAGAATAATGGACACCACCAAGGCAGGTAAACCTGTTACAAAAAGACAGGACACGCACAGCTCTTCAGAAGTATCTGGAACTTTTTTTTTAAGATGGACAATCGCAAGGAAGTAGCAGAGCCCCGCCTCCCCCAACCACAGCACACAAACTTCTTAGAAGGGGCAACTTGGTTAGAACCAACCACAAAGTCTTTTTTGGAGTGGAACATGAAACTCATTTGGCAACAATTAAAGTTCTTTTTGCTTAGCTGAACTTACTAGAGGTCCCAAACCTGATTCTATCGAATGCAGCATGAGCCAATGTGGTTTTCATTAGGCCATCAGAGTTTAGGCAGATACAACAATGGCAGCTAATTCCCCCCTTTTTGGGTAAAGTCTTTAGAAAAATTAGTGTGGGGGGAACAACAGGGATATAAAATCTTTACAGTCTTCTCTTTTCTCTCTAGAGAATCAATACCATATTCATGTATGTATTTACAGGGGAAATGTATGCCAGCCCAATTCCCTGAACAAAGGTTTTACTGCCTCCTAAGGGGGTGCTGAACATCTTGGGAATGTCTCATGCTTCTATATTATCATTTGAAAATGATTTTTGAGAAAGTTCTAAAGGTTAGGCCCAATAATACAACCCAGACAAAGAAAGAAGCCAGAGGAGATAATTCCAAAGAGACTAACACAACCACTCTATGTCTGATGGAGTTCAAGGCAAAAATTCTGTAAGTCTCCTAGCTGCACACAAAAAACTCACATTCTTCCTCTGGTTTCCACAACATGGGCATGTGTTTAGGGATGAGTACAGTGAGGAGTCGCAGCTGGCCTTTATATCAGGAGGTATAATGGAAATGTGCCGTGGTTGGCCAGCTGCTGCTTCAGACTTGGGTGGGCTGGCTCTGAGCTCAGGAAATGAATTGGTGGTGAGTCAGGAGCTAAGGCTGCTCCTTTACTCCTGAATTTAGTGAGTACTGTAGAAGAAGTTTTTTTTTTTTTTTTTTTTTTTTTTTTTTTGGTACCGGGTATTAAACCCATGAAACCAGGGGGCTTAACCACTGAGCCACATCACCAGCCACCCCCCACCCCTTTTTTTGTATTTAGTTTAGAAACAGAGTCTCGCTGAATTGCTTAGGTCCTCACCAGATTGCTGAGGCTGGCCTTGAACTCACAATCCTCCTGCCTCAGCCTCTGAGCTGCTGGGATTACAGGCATGTGCCACTGTGCCCAGCCTGTGGAAGGGTTTTTAAAGATAGTTCGGAGGATTCCTTCCTTTGGATACGTATCTCTAATCCACATAACTCACAATGCTGGAGTTTCTCTCAACAGTATTGTTCTTTAGAAATACAGATTTTTCTTATGAGAATTGGGCAATTTTCATGATAGAAAGAACAAAGTCAAAAAATTTTAGGAGGCTTACCCCAGCCTATGATGCAGAATTTTAGAATATACCGGCGAATATAAGTGTTGAATACTTTCACTAAAGCAATATACATGTGAATGGCTTCCAGCCCCATCCAGGTAAAGGTTGCCAGAAGGAAGAAGTGGAGGAGAGCAGCCACTGCAACACAGAGTCCCTTCATGCCGAAGGAGGTGACCCAGCCATCCAGGAGGAAGGTCAGGTTCAGGAACAGCAGGGCTGTGCTCAGGTTCATCAGGATCTTGGAGGGATAATCCCTTCGAAGTTTTCTAAAAAGGGAGAAAAATACACACACAAGAACACATATTGTAAATAATTTTTAAATTTTTAATTTTATTAGCATTTTATTTAGCACTGTAGTTTTACATAATTGTGGGGTTCATTCTAACATATTCATAAATGCAAATATAACATAATTTGCTCCATTTCAACACCAGTTCCTACTGGCTACTCTTCCCTCCTCCCCCTCCTGACCCCTCACCTCTATTCTGTTGATTTTCCTTCTATTAATTTATTATTTTTTGAGTGTGGGGGTAACTTCATATCTTCTGCAACTGTGTAATAGTTGAGAAAGCCATCTTTATGACATGGTTCCACTATGCAGAGGGCTAAAGATATTTATGAGTATTTGGCAGCCTATAAAAACTTTTTGAATAGTAATTTTATTACAAAACTGTTTCCAATTGTTCACAAAATTCCCAACTGGTTTTCAGATATCTTTTTTTAATCCAGGAAAAATTCTAGTACAAGAATGATATATTTATTAAAAAACTAATGCCCCTAAATTTTTTGAAGTTTCTTAATTTTTAATGAATTAAAGATCCTCCTATTTTTTTTAAAAAAATTCCTGTTTCAGGACTGAGGCAAATACCTTCATCTTTTAAAAATATTTTCATCTGTACAATGAAGAAAGTACAAAGTACTTTTTACACTTTGTATTTACTTAAATGTCAATCATCTTTAACATATGTGAAACCATCTTATAAATAGAAGTATGGTAATTACAAATAAGATTCATAGCTGGAAAATTCATGTTGTGTGATAGGAGAAACCTGAACTTGAAAACTGAACCACCCGACATGAATCACAGAGTATATAATTGTTTTCAAGCGCCAAAGCAATTTTCTCTTTCACATTTGGAACAGTTAGCACTGGGCTTGGCAGACAGATAAATACTTACTCAAAAGCAACATATGTCAGCAGGGTTGCTGCTGAAAAGATGGAAGATACTCCACAGCCGATGTAGGTGATGAACGTGAGGACCTTCGTGTTTCTTGCGTCGATCTGTGAGGCGCTTCTTGGAAGGTCCTGCACAAGACATGGGAAGCAGCTGTTAAGAATTCTTCCAGAGTGGTGCTCTGTGCCACTAAAAGTTCACTGCTAACATCATACAGAATCTCAGGGGATAAAACAACAATGGACATCAATGTTAAGATTGCCATCTACTGCACTCTTGTGGGTCACTATGTGAAAGAAAATTACTGACCAAAGCAGGTGCACATTGTACTTTTATCATTACTTTCTTACCCAAGCTCCTTGAATTCCAGCTTAAGGTGAAGAATAAAACTACAGGTCCCCCAACTGAAACTGGAGAGGAGGTAGCTGCCATGCATAATGTTATTAGACCCATTTATAATATTTACAGGACTGGGGCATGAGTACAAATGGAGGCCACGGGAGCCCATGTGGCCAGACCCTCCTACCCTTAGATTCCTTGCTGGGTTGGAGGTGCTCAGCCAGGAGACAGCCAGAAGCTGGTGGTGGCTACGAGGGTGTGGCTCTAAGGATGGTGTTGAGGCTTTTAATTGTGGTCAGTTTAAAGCTTGGTGTGCAGAAGTTGTGGTGGTTTATTTATTTATTTTTCATAAATGAGAAGCCACTAAGAGGTTTTGGGTCAAAGCATTTTGATCCCTATAGACCTGAAAGGATGCAATTTACAGTGTTCGGGTTGTAGTGGAGTGAACATATTCTTTCAGATTAGCACACTTTCCAGCATGTTACTGTGAAGCATTAATTTCAATATACTTAGGCAGACCTGCAAAGTCTAAACCTGGTAGGAAAATCTTCTTTTCTCCTTAAATAGGGGAATGAAATAGGGATAAATCTTAAGATCAACTACTCAATCCTGGTTGGAGGAGAAAGTAACTTCTATCATGCAAATGTTCAAAAATTCAGCATTCTTAGAGAAGGGATTTATTAAACATCCAGTTTAAACTTCTAGGTCTTATAACAAAAATTTTTCCTCCTCTATGTTATTTTTCTTTAATATTCAGCAAGTGTCAAAAAATCTGCTCCTGGGCTAGGGTTGGAGCTCAGTTGTAGAATGCTTGCCAAGCATGCAATGAGGCACAGGGTTTGATCCTCAGAACCACATTAAACAAACAAACAAATGAACAAACAAACAAATAAATAAAGGCATCATGTCCATAATACTTTTTTAAAAATTTTCTTTCACTAAAAATATTTTTTTAAAAAAAATAAAGAAATCTGCTCCTCACATAGGCATTGAGCTACTGGTATTTCTATATGTGTACATGTGTGCAAAATGAAAAAAAAAGGAGAGTGAATTCCAGGTATGACTGATGCAGTAAGGAACAGGTATATTTCCTTTATGCACAAAGTGATGGAAATCAGCAGAAGCAGGTGCTGGAAGTCAGAGGGGCCCTTTCTAATCTTATTGATTCAAGAATTCCTCAAAACACTGGGGCACATGGGATTCCCATGGTACCTTGTAGGAAGTTCTAAGTCAGTGCCACTTGACTTTAGACAGGCTACTTCACCACAGTTCAGTCACTGCAGGACAGCATAGGCCAGAGAACTGAATCACAGTCTTGAGGGACCTCCATGTGATATGTTACTACCTCTTAAAAAAAAAAAAAAAAAAAAAAACTCTGTTGCCATCTAGATAAGGCAATTGACTGGCAAACCTCAATTAAACCAAAATTTAAAATAAAAATTAAGGCTTTTTACTGATCCCCATTTACACGCAATTCTCATGCTGTTTTGAACTTTTGGAGAATGGAAATATTTATCCCTCTGAGCCAGCCAACATGAAAATACACTAATGCTCAAAATATGAAAGTCAGTTTTACTACAGATAAATGTAGTAGAGGACATTGAATCCCTCGCACATTTGTAGATTGGAAGATATGATTCTGGGTGAATGTGTCATGGGAAAAATTTAGATTCAGAAAAATCTATGCAAATGAATAAAGAGTTTGTAAATTAAGAAAGACTCTTAGCAAAATCTTGGTGGTCTGGAAAAGCTGAAAGGATATGAACACATGGCCAGAAAGGATGAATTTTGGCAAGATTTTCTTAAAGCAATTTATAATCCTATAAAAACAGTCAAGGTATAAAATGGAAAGATAATGCTAAAGATGCATATTTCCATATATATAAAAAAATTAACTGTTTAATCAGATGGCAACAGAAAAAATAATGTACAATCATGTAGAGTGTTTTTACTCCAAACACAATTTAAATAATATATGAAGGAACTGACCACTTAAAATAATGTGTAGCCAAAATCTGATTGCATATGAACTATCTCTTAATATTCTCTTTTGTTACTATTATCTATTTACCTAATATTAGACTTAACAGATGCAATTATGTGTTCTCTCTCTCTCTCTCTCTCTCTCTCTCTCTCTCTCTCTCTCACACACACACACACACACACACACACACGGTTAAAATATTTAAATGAATTAAGTTAAAGCTCCTATACCTGAATGAATAATTGTTGAAAATAAGTATTTTCTGAAAACTTCCTCTTTTCACTTTTAAAGAAAAAAGAATATGGAAAGAAATATAATTTTCTTTCTAGATTGCTTAGGGAAAATCATTTTATAGTTTAATTATTCATTTTCATGCTCTGGCAGTAAAGAAAAAATATTTGTATTTTGAGAACATTAAAAAGTTACTTTCTGTGACTTACCACCACCTTTTTCAATGATTTGCTCTCATCCCTGAGAGCACTGATGTCCTGGGTTGTCAGGAAAATTACAATTTGCAGAATTGCCATGTGACATGGGCCATTTGCATAGGCCAAGTATATTCATGAGCCAAATGCTACATCCCACAGTTTCTCACCACTTCCTCCCTGTCCCCACAGGAAGAACTGCCGAAGATTTAAAGGAGGGGGATAAACACAACCTCATGTCTGTGATTTCAACTGGAAAAGCTTTTTGACTCAGCTTGCACTACTCCCATCTCCTATTTAAAAACAAATGTGGTTGGTTCCTTTACAGAAACCATACAGAAACAATGGCTGTGATAATCTGCATGGCAGTCTGGATTCCAGAAGTGTGTGCAAAAACACTAGTGTACCAGATAAAAGGGAAAATGCAAGTCTATGGATAAACACAAATAAGTCCTTGGACATGGGGTGAAAATTTGTGGGATTAAAAAAACAAAGATGTGCTCTAATTTTTGTTTAAAATTGTTGAGCAGGCTGGCCAACAAGATAAAAAAGAAAAAAAAAACAGATCCATGGGAAAAAAGGAAGGAAGAAAAGAAGAAAAGAATGATACAAGGCCTGAGAGCCAGAGAAACACCACGCCCATCATCACTGAGGTCTCTTCTGAGGTGCTGCCATTTCCAGGAGGAAGATTCCCTGGCACAGAGCCTGGTACAGAATGACAGACTGAGTCATAACATAAGAAAAATTTTGATCATACAATTCACAGTTCTCTTCCAACATTTTCTTCTTTAACTTTGCCTCCCTCTTATTCCTGTCTCCTGTTTCCAAGACTCTATTTCTCTCTTAACAGAGATTTTCTTATTTCTGGGATTATCTGTCATCACTGTCAATACTGTAAAAAACACGTAGAGTTCTATAATTACTTTCTTATATTTTTAATATATGTTCTCTACTAATTAGATTTTTCTTTAAGAATTAAGATTTAGGGTATAGATGGGCATGATCAGGAAAAAAAATTCTTCAAACACAAAATCTAAAAAGAAAAGTTTAAAGAAAGAAAGAAGTATGCCTTCTGAAATTACATGATGTCAAAATGAGCTTAGAAACCCCCCTCACCATCAGGACTCCGAAGTGTGTGAAGTGGTTACACAGGCAGATGGTCTCGCTTGCATCTGAATCGTTGTGCGCAATGCACCCTGACGTGTTCCATCCTCCAAGACTTTCTGTGGGAGGAATCAATAAAGAGAGTGAGAGCAACAGCATCTTCTCCATAAGGAACGGGATGACTTTCAGAAAATCTGCCTCAGCCTCATCTGGTCTGTCTTACTGAGTTTATCTGTGCAATGAATGCCATTCATAAAGTTACCAATATGTAAAATAATCCTGGATCCTGGACTCACAGGAGGCTAGTGCTGAGCAGGCAGTTAGAGACAATCTAGATAGTGAATCTGTGGAACCTGTGTTTCACTGTGTTCTACTGGAGTGTTTGGGGGTTCTGCAAATGTTTGAGTTTAATTGTAACATAATTGAAAAAAAGTTTCTATAAAGAATGCTCCTTTTCAAATGTGCTACGTGCTCATGAACTTTCTGGAGACCAATACTGTTCCATAGGATGGGTCTGTATTTTTGTGAAGCCCTAAGAACAAAGGAAGTCTGCTTTCTTAGAATATGTGATTATGAGCACAACAGTCAAGCATGGTGATGACTTAACTACGCGTGGTTTGAGTGTATCCTTTCTGACTTTAATAGTATAATATAGAGTATGAACAACTCCTATGATCAAAATATGAGATCCATTTATTTGAACAGCATGTAAAGATATAAGGTAATATTTAACAAATGTATATGATGAAATCAGGGTCTCCAAACTGTGCAACCAAACCACAAAACTGTCCAGCTATATCAAGGATTGTCCAAAATAAAAAAGAGGTTTGACTACTTTGGGGCACTCTCTGTCTTTCTCTCACTCTAAAAATGAATATTACTGGCATTTAACAAAGTATCCAGCATGTTGCTGGAACAGATTTGGCCACGATAATTCCAGTGGGGGACCCTGATGGAAGGGGACATGGAAGGTACAGACACATGAAGTTCATCATTTATGGCTGGAGGCAAATCCCCTCAAGGAGATTTCCACAGCTGCGGCCTAATGATGTGCTTATTGCTTTACTTTGACAGCCTCTATTTGTTTTCGGTGTTGTAGAGGCTGCTCATTTCTTTCCTGTAATCCACGTCCACTATCACCATCCCTATCTTTATCTTCCTTGGTGTTTTCTCCACCCACCCTAACTTGAAATAGAAGCTGGGTTTCTAATCATATGACTTGTGCATATCAAGTAATATCTTCCTATGTATCCTAGAAGAATAACGTCAAGTGTGTGCCTACGTTCAACTAACAGTCACAACAAAAGTCTATACCGTATTTGACAAATGACTGAAATCAAAGAGTTGTTTCATTAAAAAAAAAAAAAGTCAAGTATGCCCATTTCTTCTTGTAGTATCTAAAAAGTCACATAAATTAAAATTGACTTAGTGATATAAACTGAAATCTGCAGTTCAGTTGCTCTTACACTTACATTGTGACTCATTGTGGTTTGGAGTGGAATTAAAGGAAATGGAGGTGTCTAATGGTGTTTAAAATTCGTTGTTATCTATATTAACACAACCAGTATTTTAACACTTACTGTTTTTGTTCAAATCCCAGAAGGCACAGATGGGACGATGCACTTCCTATATCAACACAAGAATAAACATGTGAAATTGTGTTTAAAATAACTTAAAAAGCACATGATTGAAATGTGGCAAAGAAGAAAATGCTACAGGGTTCACAAAGAAATAGATCAGCATGAGACATGCCAATACAACCTGAAAACCTGAGGTGATCTATAGAGGATATTCTCTCAGAATGGAGATCCCAAGGGAAAATCAGCTATAACCTTAGAAACCTTATGAGGAATCAAATCACCCATTTTTTTCCTGCAGGTTACTACATGTCCCATCATTAAATACTGAATCCATCCACTACCATTCCTAATATTTAGCAAAGCTCTTTATACTATAATTTCACATTCTTCAAAATTCTTCTTTGTGTCTGGATATATGCAGAAACAAACTGAAAGAAGCAACTCAGAGAGATATTTATACATCTGTGTTCTTCACAATAACCAAAAAATAGAAGCAACTCAAATGTCCACTGATGGATAAATGGATACACAAATTCTGATATATACATATAATGGAATATTATCTGACCCTAAAAAGAAAAAAGAAATTCTGATGACAGATGCTGCTTTATGTCTTGAAGACATTCTGCTAAGTGAAATAATCAATTTATTGTCCCAAAGGACAAATACTGTACGATTCCACTTTTTGAGGTACCTAGAAGAGTCAAATTAATAGTGATCTAGAGTTGAGCAGCGGTTACCAGAGGTTCTTGGAAGGTGAGAATAGGGAGGTAGTGTTTAATGGGAATGGAGTTTCAGTCAAAGAAGATGGAAAACTTGTAGAGACGGATGGTACAATGTGAATACACTTAATGCTACTGACCGCACATTTAAAAATGATAAAATGGTAAATTTTGTCAAGTATATTCCACCACAGTTTTTAAAAAATCCTCCTTTATAGAGAAAGGGGCTGATAAACAAAGAGGCCACAAGGTCTCTTTGGAGAAGGTCTCCAAGGATCCTCTCCAAGGATTCTGCAATGACTTAACTCCAATTGTTAGCCCTTATCTGTCTGCTCTCTTCCTGCCAGACAAATGGCAGGATCATCACTGGGGCCCCCTAAAAAAGTGGGAAAACCTGTTTCCAGGGCACTGAGGACAGTTCAATAAGGCAAGAGAAGTAACATTTGCCAAGATTTCAAGCAACTGCTAACTCCTTAAAGAATAAATCTTCCCTTCTGTTGCTCCTTGACATTCCCAACTGCAGTTACTTTTTACTTTAAAAATATAGAGACACAACCAAAACCTCCTATGGTAGAATGGTGCAAGATATTAGATCCAACTTATTTGAAATGATGTGTGTCATTTTTTAAGAACAGTTATCTTTTTCTTCACTCCCATGCCTTCTGGTTCATGAGTCCTAGGTAAGACTAATTCCCACACTATGCCCCAAGCTGATGATACTCACGGTGACCGCAGAGCACTGCCTGACTGGTGGCCTCCCTTCTGGAACACTGATTCTTGCCCTCATAAAAAGTGCCAGTTACTTACTATCATGTAAAAGGAAAAGGCCCACAATTCTCTGAAATAGTTTGCACTGCTCAATCACAACTGGTAGCATTTTCTTACCTGAGTTCTTGTATGTTTGATTTTAATTTGAACGGGGTCCTTTAGATCCTGGATAGTAATGTTTCCAATACTGCATGCCATCACATAACTCACTAAGGTTTTTCTTTGGGGTCCCACATCCTTTGGGAAAAAAAAAATTGCGTGCCTGAGTCAGAAGTACACACTTTTATTTTGCTTCTGTGCTCCAAAATAAGCAAACTGTCAGCAATTTTTACACTTAAGATCTTCGACTCTAGAGCATCCTGTTTATAACATAAAATTGCTGGCTTTCCTGAAGGAGCTGTGCTGCTTCCCTTATCACAATAAATACATTGAGGGGGCATTATGAGCCAGTATAATAAGGTAGTATTCATAAAACTCCATTCGTGATCGGGGTAACTGATGTCAGCCAGTTCATATCTGGAACAATGCAAACCCATAAATAATACAAACTCATGAACAAGTGTGAAACAATTAGTTCATTTCCCTACTCTAGAAAACAGATGAAGTTTTTTTTCCTTTAGAGAAGTATGAAGGAAATTTGGTGTGAAAAATAAAAAGCAATTCATCTTTTACATCTATGCCAAGAGCCTGGCCTGTTTACTAACCTATACCTAAATGTAGTTCCACTGGATGCAAGTCCCATGCAGAACTTTCACCTTCTTCTGTGCTGTCTACATGTCAGCACCTGCAGACTTCACTGCAGTGGAACCTGTCCTGCAAAATGACTCAGACCAACAGGCTGTCTCTCCAGCAAGTTCTGTTTTATTTTCCTCCCTTGTGTTTCCTGTCAAATCTCCTAAATTTCTCTCCATACAACAGCTTATAAATCAGCTGTTTTGGAATAGCTGTAAAATGTCCTAAATTCCAAGCAAAATTCAGCATCCAAAATAGAGGTTTTTATTAATTTTATATGGTTATCACTATCAAAATGCTGGCTATTGGTTGGTGATACCAGACTTCTATTTAAAATGGATCTATACCTATATATTTGCCTATTATTCTAGGATAGATATAATATACATATATGTATGTATCTTGTCTATTATGCTTATATGTATGTATGTATGTATGTACATATGGATATACTTATATCTTGCCTATTATGTTAGTACTATGCTGTTAATTTATTTTTAAAAACCAAAAATACATTTCCTAATAACAACTTTGATAAGGAGATGCCAAATGAGAAGGAAAAATGAGAAGACTCAAAAGAGTGACAGATCCTTCTCACTCTAAGAACTCTCCTAAACTACTCCTATGAACCAGACCCCTGACCTTCTTCTATCACTTTTTTTTTTTTTTTTTTTTTTTGGTAAAGGGGATTGAAACCAGGAGTGCTACTTAACCAATGAGCCATGTCAAAAGCCTTTTTAAAAATATTTTATTTAGAGACAGGGTCTCACTGAATTGATTAGGACCTTGCTAAGTTGCTGAGGGGCTTTGAACTTGTGACCTGCCTGCCTCACCCTCTCAAGCCACTAGGATTACAGGCATTCACCACTGTGCCTTAGCATCACTTACATTTTGTGATGTCTCCTGCGTACTTTAATATTGTTTTTAAGGTGATATCACTATAATCCTCAAATTACAATAATTTTAATAAATACAGTTGTATGCATCTATAGTTATAGGAGCCTCAGGGTAAATCATGTTTTTAATAAGTGATATTTATATGGATTTCAAAAGTTTTATATACCTTGTACCTAAAAGGTTCACAGGTAAAATTTTAAATTTTTGAAGCGATTTTCTATCAATGTTTCCATGGCTTTTTTTTTTTTAATCTGTAATCTACTTGGCCATTCCTCTCTGTGTGATGCATAGAATGGATTTATTAAAAACAATTCTCCTGCCCTTGAGACATGATTTTCTCTTATACAGACCACACTGTTGGAATACTGTGGTATCTTGAATGTAACAGGTTTTAAGAAAAGCAGTGAAACTGCTGTATATGGGCTGTACTCTTAAAGGCAATCAGAGGTCACCAGAGTTTGCTGGCAGTGGACCTTCTAGTATCTAGAACTAAAGCCAATAAAAATGATAATATGTGCTCAGCACAATGCCACCCTACTCTGCGGATGTGTGAAAGCCAAAGGTCTCTTGAAATACTAATGGGAAAACTGATTAAAGCCAAGAATGCTGCTCATTATATAAACAGTGCTTCCTGCTGAATTGAAAAAAAGTCCTTTCCTTTGGTGTGCAATTTCTTTAATTCTGAAGGCCTACAGGACTGAGGAATGTAAAATATTTAACAAAGGGAATAATAAATAGTAGCTTCTTTAGTAACTCAATTTTTAATTCCATTATGCAACTTTTAGCCTATTTTTTATTAATTTTAAAAACTGGAATAAACTTATCCTATTAATAAGCACATTATTTTCTAAAATAAATTTTTAAACAATTGTATTAAAACCTTTTGTTTATAAAAACATTTTTTATTTTGAAAATAAAATAGATTAATTTTTCTAATACCTTCTGATGTATTTGGAAGAAATATGAACTTTAATTTTTATTTTTTAACAAAGAAACTTCAGTTGCCATTGAAAAATAATTATTTAATTAATGCTTACCTGGAAAAGTCCAGTTTTGTTGAAGAAAGTAAACTGTGCTCTTCTAACTAATACAGAATCTTCTTGACTTAAGTTTTCAAGTAAGTTTGGAGGCAAAATGACAGAAGCCAGTGGATCCACTTGTTCACTCTCAAAATCCATCTGTCACACACACATATTGGTGGAGTGAACACAAGGACATAGTAAGGATACTTCACTCCACCCACTGATTAAGGAGAGAGAACAACTGCAAACACCTAGTTAGCTAGAGCTGGGGCTCCCTGGACCTCTATGGCAGCCTCTGCAGCTCCTGGATAAACCCCCACAGGCGATCCAGAGTCTTAATCAAGGTTTACAACGCCAGACAAAGAAGAAAACACATTGACTCTGACTAAGGAAACCTGAAATCTACAAACTGGTCAATATTGACCTGTATGAGGATTGGATCTAGCCTATCAGATTCTGAGTTGTTTTTAAAACACTTAGTGAAAGAGACTGAAGTTAACTTGTTGGAGTACAGAAACTGAATTATCTCTGTCAAGAGGCCACAGCTGAAATTTTCCGAACACTCTCAGATATCATTTGTACTGAAACCATAGCTCAAGCTACAGAGTGCTTTCTGAGTTTTCACTCAGTGTGAAGAAAAAAAAAAAAGTTTTCCTTGAACCCTGGGCTCCAGACATTTTTCTATTTTTAGTGTAGTCTATTTCTATAGCTAAACAACTATCATGCTCCATGTAGACATTTCGCCAGGTAAAGAACTAGGCTGCATTTATTCTGTTTGTTCTTCTGGCAAGCGTTTTGGGGCACATAGGAACCACTTGAAATTATTTGCTGAAGTGTGACTTCAACATGTCCAAGAGGCTCTCTGTTAATCTGGCCCCAGCTCACTTGTCCAGTCTCAGTGTCACCTGCTATTTACAGACTTTTCTGTCATTATTTCTTGAAGTGTGATCCTCAGGCCAGCAGCACTGGTAATATTCAGGAACTTGCTCACAAGTGCAAATTTCAGGGTCTGACCCAGGACCTATTCCATTAGAAGCTCTTGGGGTAAGGTCTAGCAATTGGTTTTAATAAGTTCTCCAGGAGATTCTAATGTTCAGTTTAAGAATCACTGGTAAAAAGGTTTTCACTTTCCAGAGTCCTTAACAGACCTCTTTCTTCTCAATGGATTGATTCTCGGTGCCCCAATATGGCAGTCCCAACTCATGTTTTAACACCTGGCTCCATGTCATCTCTCATAGATGATGACCTCTTATTGTTCAGCTATGAAGGGGGCACCTTCTCCCTGCTTCCACAATACTTGTAGCTGCTGATAGAATTAAACTTAGCCAATATTCAGACCGGCTTGCCACCTCTTGGGCATACATGTCCTTGAAGTAACAACTGTTAAAGTGGTCATCAAGTTTGTATCTAATTAACTAATTAAAATTATAGAAAACTGTGGTTTATTACCTGGAAATATGATTCATTATTGCTTGGAAGACCAATGCTAAAATTTGAAATTGCATTCGTCTCTGGGTTCAGGGACGATATTCCAAGAGCCAAATTCCGAGTCGCAATATTCACATGCGGGGTGCTACTTAGGTCTATCTTAAAGGCCAATTCATCAATTGTTTTTAAAGCCCTAAAGAAATGACAATGATGTCACTGTTAAGTACACAATGTTTTAGATACCTGATCACATGTCTTGATGCATAGCAAAATACAAACTACATAAAATTATCTTAAATTTTCTGATAATAACTTAAATATCCACAAAGTTACCCCAAACCATAATAATATCAGTTAAAACATAGAATCACAGTGACAGATTCATCCTCAAGAGAAATATCTTCTTTAAGGGAAACCAACAATTAAATTATCCTGAACAAGTACTGTCTTTCGTTTGTTTTGGCCTCTCTTTGCTCATAAGAAAAATACCCTCCCCACTTTATAACTTAGAAATAATCAAAGGAAACAAGATGATGTGAAAATATTTGTAATTTATTATTTTAAAGACAAATTAACTTGGAGAATACCTTTCAATGAATATAAAATTTTCATTAAAGAAATGTGGTTGAAAAGAAGGGAACAGAAAATAATTAAACACTTTAATATTAACATATTAAGTGAAATTATTGGACACAAACTGGATTCTATAAAAATAGGTCCATTTTCACCTGCCTTAGGCATTTTCACTTTAAAAGTCAAACAATCACATAGCTGTGGCAGTTTATGCCCAGTTCACAGGACAGTAGACTTACATTGACCAAGTAATATCCCTCAGATTAGTAATCTTTCAGGAATTTTCAAATAGACAAATGATATGCTGATTTACATATACTGTTTGATAACAACTCTAATCATTTTGTAAATTATTTCTCTTAAAATAAAAAAAGAGAGAACTTTTTGAAGTTCCCTTTTTGAATGACCTTGGGGACTGTCTATGCATCTTCCAGAGATTTTAATTATGAAGGCAGGCCACAAAGTCCTCAGATAGGTTTGAAATTATACAACAACACATTTATTCAATAAATTTTACTCTTCAAGAAAAAAAGAGAGAGGTACTTACTCAGAAGAAGATTCAAGCAAGTCACTATCTGAACTGCTTAAGATATTAGAAAATATATTCATTAGAGTCGAGCCGAGTGTTAAATCAATGTTTTCTTCACTATTCACAATTCTTTTGACCAGTTCTACAATGTTGGTGATATTGGCTGAGGTTAAGTTCTGGGCATCAGCAGTTAAATTTAAAATCTGATTAGCAACTTCATTTACTTCCTCTAAAACAAACAACAACAACAAAAAAAGGCTGAAGAAACAACATAGAAAATTTTACTGCACATTTCATTTTAAGCATGTCCAGGGATCCAAAGCATGGTGTGATATTTTACTTTATAGCTGAAGCAGGGTTCCTGTGTGTACTCCCTTATGATTGTCTGCACAAGGTAACAATACAATATTTATACACAGACTAACTTCTCTCTTTAGTAAGACACAAAGACATAAGCAACTCTAAGACACCAGTGTTCACATATTGTTCTAAAAGAAATGCTCCGGAATCTCTGAATAAGCACGTTTGCTGTTTGACAATACAACAAAACACTGATAGTAGTAATTGTGTGTGTTTGAGGGGGTGTATTTATGCATGTGTGTGTGTGTGTGTGTGTGTGTGTGTGTGTATACACACATATATATTATATCTACACATATATATTTTAAAGTCTTCTCTAAGATTTCTTCACTATTTTAGTCTTATAGAATAAATAGAATATAAAGTTAGAATGAGAGAAGCATGTACTTTCTACCTTAAGAAAAACAGTCACATGTCTAATTTTTAGTATTAAAACAGTAGCACACAGAAGAACATGTCTGAAGAAGGTGAAAGCCATGAGGCATAAGGTCATTTCATTTAGGGAACTGAACAGAAGTTTCTCACTTACTTGTACAGTTGGATAAATCGAGGGGCCCCCACTCGGCTAATGAAGTGTTGGAAGGATTGCGGTAACTATGAAACAACATCAAAAAGATATTTCAAATATTTGACATAAATGAGAAGACAGCTTATGATATCAGTTAATAAGCTCTAGAATTTGTTTTGCTATCTAGGTAAGTTCCATCTGAAAATAAAGCTGTAATATGTTGAAATAAAGTGCATACTAAAAATCCTTACTGGAAGAAAGGAGTAGCCTACATCACAGAATCAAAATACAAGCAATATCCTGTATCCTAACCTAGAATACATTGGTCAAGTACTGCTTTAAGAACTTTATAGATACATTTTGATTTTTATTTCACATAACTCTGGAAATCCATCTTTTATAGATGAGGAAATGGACTTAGGGAAGCCAAGGAATTTCCCAAGGTCTCCAGCCAGAAAGAGGTCAGGCTACATTTTAAATTCCAGTTCATCGATCTCTAAAGCCTTCTTCTTTCAACCAAGTGTCAAAGAGAGCAGTTGTCACACTTAGGCAGTTTCCGTTTCTGAATTCCCTCCAAGGAAGCTCTAACCGGGAGTGGGGTAGAGGGTGAAGAACTAGATTTGAGACTAGCAGTTGGATGAATCCCTACAATTATCTTGTTTCTCAAGTTTTTTGTTAGACATTCAGGGAAACTTCATATTCTGACAGTCTGTATCAGCAGACTGCTAAGCCTGGATCTTGTCTATTCCCTCTTTGCTACTTCACTTCAAACAGTTAAAAAGTCTTGGGATTTTTAATTGCATGTTCCACGGCTACAAGCTGGCTAGGGTCAGCTATACACAAGGTGCATGCCCTGGAACCACCCTCTGTTTTCCAAGTTCCTAGATCTTTCTTTAGATATGTCTTGAGTTTGTTGCTGGGAGAAAAATGCTGCCTTTCTGGACAACCTGCTAACCTTATCTCTACCCCCCTGACCCAAAAGAGCACAATTTAGGCACATACAGAGATTCCTGCCCTTTTTCCCAATCAACAGTACTGCTGAGCAGTACATGTACCCTGGGAATATGAATAGCATGGAGCTTGGTTGGTACAAGTCAATGAAAATATTACCATATCCGTGTAACAGAAAAGCCAGGCTTGTCTGGACACGGATGGCTGTACTCAGAAGGTGGGATAGCTGGCCAGTAAAAGCCTGTGGGTTCCTCCACCGCAGCACAAATACCTGAGAGAAATGAGAATGAGCACGAGAAATATCAGTCCATCCTTTGATGTTAAAGGTGCATGATGAAAACAAAATACAATCCTGGTAATTAGGAATGCATTTCATGTAATGATAAAATACTAGGGTTTTATGTTCAGAAACTGTAAAAATTTACAAATAAGGAAGAATACACATATAATACATTTCAGACACAGAAATTATTGCATATTATAAAACCATCCAATAAAGTGCCTAGAGTACACATAAACAGGTAACATACATGTAAATTAGCATAGATTAGTAACATAAGTTTTATTCAAAAAATAAACACTACAGAAAATGAGAGTAAACCTGAAAGATTCAAAATGTAATGATCTTTGTTAAAGTGGAAAGCTTATGGTGCATTCATTGATGGTTTCATCATTGAGTTGTGAACATATTTTATAAATATTAAAATTAGCTTCTCTGCTAATAATCTACTGCCAGGAAGCTCACTGAAAGAATGGCAAGAAGGTATCTATGAGCACTGTCCCCTATCTTACCCTCACTTCTTCATTGTCAAACACTTCACGATATAAATGATTCAGATGTTATTTTTAAAAAAAAAATCAAAGTAATAGCAATATATCAATAACTACAATAAAACTTATATTTCAATGCTTAAAATCACCAAGTTATACTGGAGTTCTGGGAACTGGTATCATAGTCACCAACTGAAAATTCAAGTAACTTTCCCATTGTGGCCTGGGCTTTAAAATGACCAGTTTTAGTTTTGTTGTTGTTGTTGTTTTGCATTTGAGCATTTGATGGAAATTTTTCTCTACAGACCCACTTGAAGAAAAACTATAAAATTTAAATTAAATGCTATAAATTAAATATCCAAATATGCAGAGAGGGGTGTTCTGTGATTCTCCAGCCTCTGAGAAGGGATAGAGCTGGCCCCCAGGGTCCCTCAGTCATTTATTAACTGCCATTTGTCACATTACTTCTTTATGGAGACTCCAGTGTGTGAAAGGGCAGCTGCTGTGGTCTCCCCACACTAAGGAGCCCTGTTTGTTAGGAAGCGTTTCTCCACAGTGGCTCAGAAAGTGGTCTTCATCATCATCACCACCATCATTATCATCCTATGTTGACATGGTAGAGATGGGAAGTTCCTCATAAAGATAGAAAGGGCTTTATTCCCCTGTGATTCTGGCCTCAGGCATCAGCACCCTCTTAGAGCCAAGGAGTTCCCACTTCCCTGCTTAGACTCTGAGTGCACAGGCTGGAAAGCATCATTTTTCTTTTCTCCTGATTTCTATATAGTACTTAATCACAGCACTGCTGTATTCATATAATAATATTAGAACAATTATTTTTGTCATCTATATTTTTATAATAATTCCTTTAAAAAATTCCCATCAATAGGGTTGGGCTGTGGCTCATAGAGTGCTTGCCTAGCATGTGAAAGACCCTGGGTTCAATCCTTAGCACCACATAAAAATAAATAAATAAAGGCATTGTGTCCAACTACAACTAAAAAATAAATATGTTTAAAAAAAATCCCATCAAGTTCCATTTAATTTTTCATCTACTCAACAAGTATTCAAGTGCTGAGAAATATTTTGGGTTTTGAGGGAAGATAGAAGTAAAGGTATTTTAAAATGAAGAAGTGGTCTCCTTCTAGAGGAAATGACTATTTGAAGAACATACACATTCAGGAACAGGAACAAGTCTCATAGCAGACAACAGTCTTCTAACAGGTATGATACTCTGGGTGTCCAGACAGCATGAAAAGGAAGCTCAAGAAGGTGGTGATGTATGTTTACACATGATTAGATCAGAAATGTCTTCACAAAAGAGGTGACCTTGGGACTGCCTTTAAAAACAGGCAGGCGATCATAGAGTGGACAGTGAGAGAATATGTGCACAAAGGTAGAGAGGAGTTGTACGTGAATGTGACATATTAAACAGTAGAAGCAGCACCACAGTCTAGGTCCAGGATAACACCTGGATTTCTGGCCTATCTGTGGAAGACAGTGGTGTCATTGCTGGAGACAGGGAACACAAGACAGAGAGATGCTTTATAATAAAAAAAACTTCCCTTTGCAAGATCTACCTGGTTACGAGTTCTCATATGTTCAGAGACACACTCTTTCTTTAATCCCTAAAGTCAATGACAGACAAGTTATTCTGGCATTTTGCTCATATTCTTAGTCTTTTCACAGTATGTTCCTAAGATAAATATAAACTCTCATATTCTTGGTTTCCATAGATTCATAGGTATTGAGCTGATCAGTGGATTCCTAAGTACTGAGCTGACCGGAAGATTCACAGGTACTGAACTGACTATTTGTTAGACTAAGTCACTCATTTGTAATGATCTCCAATATAATAAATTTTATCATCAGAAAAAAAAATATTTTTACACAGACAATAACACATAAAGGAAGAGTCTCAGTTAAACATGAATATATAGTCACATAAAACTGTAAGCAGTTGAAGTCACTTACCCAGTTGCCTCACATTCACTGTGTAGAGCCTCAGGCCCTCATTCAGGGACTCATTATTTTTTAAAAGTTTCTGTTGAATGGTTTTTCCTTCTAAGTTGGCATTATTGGTAGCATTGTAAACTAGAAGGGCCCAAATCATCAATCTAGAAAAACAGTGCAGATAAAATTATCGTTGGTTGGTTGTTTTTTGATGCAAAAAACAGAATATGTGGATACAATGACCATGAAATGTCAAGACTGAGATGACTACCCACTGTGCTCTCAGGCTTTCCCTGATGATGCATGAATTATAACATTAAAATATTTCAATATGAATGGATGTTATTTTACATGTATATTTATATCACTTCATTTCTTTTCAGAGATATTTTAACATTTATTTGTAATACTATTTTGTAACATACACATAAGAAAGAAATAGTGTGGTTAATCCTACACTATTGCTTTAAGGGAAAAAATAAGGTCTTTAAATAAAAATTAATATTTCAAATAGAATATTAGAATTTTCCATCTCCATGAAACATTCTCACATGCTTCTTTTTTTTTTTTTTTGAAGAGAGAGAGAGAATTTCAATATTTATTTTTTAGTTTTCGGCAGACACAACATCTTTGTTTTTTTGTATGTGGTGCCAAGGATCGAACCCGGGCCGCACGCATGCCAGGCGAGCATGCTAACGCTTGAGCCACATCCCCAGCCCCTCTCACATGCTTCATGTGGTGAAAATTTATTAAACATGCTCAAGATATACTCTATGGTTAGTCAGCATATCACTGTAGATGATTTTAGAGTATCTGATCTTGAAATTTTAAAAAAGAAAATCTCTCTAATGGAAGCAAAAGATGGATCTTTGCTTTGTCAAAACTTTCAATTTTACAATTTAAAATAACAAGGTCCTTTTCGGTTCAGCCATAACCACAGCTATAATCAACACCAGACATCAAATCTATTCATTCAACATTGAGATAAATTAAATGAGATTAGTATGTCAGGTAAATGAGAAATATTTTCCCTTGTATATGAAAGCTCTGGGTTGGCAACAGAATTTCATCTTGGTCATATTCTGAAATGAATAAATAAGACACAAGGCATTATATTATCAAGCTTGCCAAAGACAAACCAGAAGCTTGCTTTTTAAAATAACTATGGAATGTGCAGTACAGAGACAGTGGCATATTTTGTTCATAAAATTCTGTGAAAATAAATAAAAATTAAATAGACTACTAATATATTTGTGGTGCTAAAAAATAAAAAAAAATAGTTAAATATTTTCTGTTCAAGGTTTGGTGAAATTAAATAGCTCTATGCCCTTTCCCCATATCTGTGCTATTCTCAAGGACAAAGTGTTGTACTATTCTTATAATTTACTCTGAAAAGATATTTATTTCTAAAATGACCTACTACCCAACGCTCATATACAGGTCATATTTCAGAATGAGGTAAACATAGATGTGAATAATAATAGTGAATAGTGCTGCATTAGTAATTTTTTGAAACAGCCTATGAAAAAAAATTGATTATATTATTGTTTGAAGATATGCTTTGCCACTCCAGTCACTGAGAACCTACAGGTGGGAATGTGATATTTAACTTCTCTTGAATACTGAGAACATCTTTAGCACAATGTATCCGGGGGAGTGTTGAATACCCAAACTCAGCAATTCAAGAATAAGCACACATTTTCACAGGTCTTATCTGGGTTGTTTTCCTCTCTCTCCTCCTGAAAACTGAACCAATTTTATGGTTCTACACAGTCAAGTTCTATCTGTTGTCACCATCAACCATTCTTCATTCAAATAGAACAGCCTCTGTGGCTTTGGTTTCCTGCCTGTCTAGGTGATAGAGTATGATAGCATTATCTGAAGCTATAATGACACAATGACTTTGAAAGGGAACGTTTAGAAAAAAAGAATGTGTGTGAAACTACTATTGCAGTTCAAGGAAAAACAATGAGAGATTATAAAACCTCAGCAATGAGCATATACAAACTTTAGAGAATAGGAAAAAAGCGGGGCTTGGGGGGGGGGGGCGGGTGCTACCAGGATAATTACAGCAATGCCAAAATTCATACCAAAGAAAACCTAGACAGTATTTTCCCACGTACACTGTCTTAGTTCATTCTCCCTATCATTTTGTGTGAAATTATTCATTGGTTTGACAGACAGAAACTGAGGTTTTATGTCAGTTAACTCTTCTAGGCAAGAGTTTCTGAGGTGTGGACATACTGGTGAGGGATGATTTTAGTATCAGGTCACAGAAGAACCACAGTAAGCTAAAAAGGGAAAGCTGACTTCTTGTCCCAATTGCTAAACAAAATGCTCAGCAAAAGGATCCAGAATGCTGCTGGATCCACTCCTGAAGTCTCATTGTGATCCAGCAGGCAGGCTTGGAAGAGATCATTTGGCTAAGTAAAGGGGAAAAGTTCTATCACTTATAATATTGAAATATATTACTCATTTTCAGATCCTAAAGGACAAAGAACATGTCAGAAAATAAAAACAATTTTCCCTAATCAAATGGCTTAATCTTGTCTATTGAATATATACAGAAATGATGAGTTTCAATATACCAGTAACTTTAAAAACATTTGTTTTTCTAATATTAAATAGAAATATACAAGAAGAAAGTTCTCTGGTCAATTCTCACATGAAACTTGATTTTAATCCCTTCCTAGTAAGACTATATCACTTGAAAAGAAGCACAGTTGAGCATCATAGTTGTATAGCCAAAACGTCAAAAAAAAAAAAAAAAAAAAAACAACAAGGCTTATGAGAACTTTTGCTCTTCAATTGATTTTTTAAAAATTCTATGAGGATGCAATATACTGACTGGAACTAATTTTTTCTCATTTGGAGTTAAGTTTTCAATTTTATAGCAATATGAACAGGTGGTCCTTATACGTCAACAGGTTATGTATGTATGTTGGACACATATATTAAATTACTTGGGTGGTTAAGTCATGCTCCTAATATGTTTAAAAATAGAGACTTTAGAAAATGAGTTCATGGCTTTAAATGCTAAAAATATTTTGTACATATCATTCATATTATTAGATGTGATCATATAAACTTGGCATTTTAAAAGCTTTTTGTGTGCATGCCTTTGTGTGTGTGTGTGTGTGTGTGTGTGTGTGTGTGTGTGTGGCTTTAGGTATGGAATCCAGGGCTTTACTCACAGTAGGCCAGAGCTCTATCATGGAGCCACACATCAGTCATAACAGAGCTATTTCTTTGAGGTTCTCTTTGAATTTTCAAATAAGAGGTAATGGTTTATCATAAACAAGCTGTAAGTACTAAAAATCATAATTCATCCATGTTAAATGCTCTACTTTCAAATTATTTTTCATCAGACTTACATTTTTACCATTTGTTCTATTATGGTTTTAAATATAAGAAAAAATAGTGTGCATCAATGGCAAAGTTAAATGTACTGAGTGATAGAAATTTTTTTTTTCTCCTATCTCATTATTTTCATTTCTCAGATAGTCAAAGCAATGAACAAGAGAAAGGTTACACCTTCCAGAAGTTGTAGTCAGTGTTACCTTTGATCATTCACAATGCTTCTTTTGACTTTAATCTTGTCCTCTCCCATGCTCAGGTGAAAACTATAAATACAAATACACATAATCAGCATCAATCTCATCCACCATATCGTCAACAACAAAACTAGGGGGAGGAGACAGGAGGAGGGAAAACAGATTTTCTAAGCCAGTATTTCCAAATGTGTGTTCTGAGGTTCTAGATTCTTCTGTAAACCCAGGCAACTGTGTGCTCTTGCATTTTAGAAGAAAAAAGAATTGGAGATGTTCTGAGAAGGAACCTACTTTAGTGTGTTGAATAATATATATTCTGAATTTACTGACAACTGACTGCTTTTTTGTGTTATTGTGTCTCTTAGGTCAGACGAATGTATGTTTCAGGGTTGCAAAATATACTTCAGAAAACTAGTTTCAGCTATAAAACCATGAAAATAAGGCACAGAGGAGAATATATGGACAATACTATTTTCTAGGAATTTACTGGAGTATTTAATAGAAAAATAGTGAAAGGGCATTTTGAAATGCTAAGTTGCAAACTATAGATGTCTTATTTTGTTAAAAAAAAAAAAAATTCTCCAAACTGAGGTGTTTGCAAACTAGGGGACACTCTATGTGATCCACCAGAGTATGAGAAGAAACTAACAGAACTGTGTGTATTTAATTATCCTTTTAATTTTTGACTTATTAGAATAGATATTTATTTACATATATATGTGTATATATATGTATATATGTGTGTGTGCATATACACACACACGAATACATACACACAGAATTTAGGTAAATTTAGAGAATTTTTTTTCTCAAATGATTCAGACATTTACCTGATATTAACCACATAAACAGTGTAGTTCCAATTCTGGAAGGTTGAATTGAGCTGAAAAACACAAAAGGCTAAGTTTGGGTAACTCTTTAGAAAAATGAATCCAATTTCTTACCTCCCCAAAGATAAGCTGTATGTATAAGATCCTGGGAAAATCATAGAGAGCTAGAGAAGTGAATGAAAAAGGTAAGAGATACCAGATCACTGTTCCCCTGAGTCTTGATAAATGCTGTTTCTTTCAGTCCTCACAATATATCCACCCCCACCACACCCCATCACCTTATTTATGAAAAAAATGGAGTTCTGCAGAGATGACAGAGTTTGCCCAGGGTCACCCAACTAGGAAGTGGCAGATCCCACACTGGAATATTCAAGTTTTCTTTAGCCCATATTGTGATATGAAGTGTACTACAAAAACACCTTCCTTTTCATTCATTTAATAATCACTGAGGTACAACAGAACATGTTTTCTAATAACTAACACCTCAAGAATATTAGTAATAAGACAAATTACAAATTAATATAAATCTTCAAAAAACAATAAAATATGTTCAACATTATTGGAACTAAACTAATTTCATGTGGTTATTTAATAGTCTTAATGGAGCTCAGTACAAGATTTATGATTGAAAGCAAGGATTCCCTTCAACATGAACAACAAGCTTTGGTGATGTGGCATCCACCACAACTGCAAAACAGGATTTATCTACCAACATGAGGTTTTCCTACTTACATAACACTTCCCAGGGGTTTTTAAGTCTTGTTTCATATATACACCGGACTTCCTTATAAGCATTTCTAAAATTGAATGAAATTTTAGAAAATACTGGCAAAAAGTACTTAATCATTTTAAATTATAAATAGTAATACAAGTTGAATGTCACTTATCCTGCCAGAAGTATCTCAGATTTCATACATATTTCAATTTTGGAATATTTTTAGGCTTCACTAATCTCATAATCACAAAGACATACTTAGATTTTGAATTTTTCAGACACTCAACGTATAATATGACTTGTGGAAAAAATTTGTATCTTCATCATCAAGCATCTGCTTTTGGTAGCTTATATCTTAAGCCAAGCTGTCCAATAAAAAGCTTAGCTTCAGATGAATATATGTTACCAAACCATGCATGAAGTAAATGTAAAATTATACTTTGTCTAGCACAAACTTTCCAGTGAATGCTTTCAGGATTAATAACATTGCCAGTTGCTTGAGAATGAAAATAAGAAATTTTATATTTTGAAATCATTCTGACTTTAAACAAAATATAAAGAACAATACTGTGCCCAGTGTGGTGGCACACACCTTTAATCCTAGTGGCTCAGGAGGCTGAGACAGGAAGATCAGGAGTTCAAAGCCAGCCTCAGCAAAAGTGAGACACTAAGCAACTCAGTGAAACTCTGTCTCTAAATAAACTATGAAGTAGGGCTGGGGATGTGGCTCAGTGGTTGAGTACCCCTGAGTTCAATCCCTGGTACCCAAAAAGAAAGAAAGAAAGAAAAAAGAACAATGCTGAAAGAAAATGGAATTCAAGTATGTACTCTATTTTGTAGAGCCCATTTAAAAATTAAATGCAACTCCTAAGGTTGAATTAGTTAGGATGTTAATGAGTCATTCTAGAAAAGTTAACAGTGGCCTTTTCTTTAACTTCTATTAAAGAATTTCACTCTCCCCACCAATTTTGTAACAGAATTGTTAATTACATACTATTATTTCCTATGGTCAATTTGTCTTAAAGAGTATTGTCTTTAAAAAGAAGTCCATTTTCTATCAGTTATTCTCCAAATGTATGTATATGTACACTTACATCTCTGTGTGTATGTCTGTGCATATGTATTTTTTCACCACTACCTCTAAATTGTTGTTTTAACTATTTTTGCTATCAATAGCATTTATCAGACACCTAGTACATAAGAAAATCCATTTTCTTACTTCAGAATATATATGTTGATGATTCTATCCATACAAAGGGCTAAAGTTTGAACTCTACTGCATTATGTAGAAAAAGAAGCACCAAGTCTCACAGCATAGAATCCATGAAAAATGAAATTTCTGAGTATGGAAAAGAGAAAAATTGAAAAAATAGGCTCCGTTTGCAAGAGAGATAAGAAAACTACTAAAATTTTGAAAATTTGAAACTTTCAAATTGTCTATCAGTAGGATATTGGTTAAATAAATTATATCCTAAGTGCGCATCAACAGAAAACTTGTTAAATAAATAACTAGACAGTCACATAATTAAACATACACTGTTTAGAAACATTCTCCTATACTAACCCTGGCAACCACAAAAATTTTTATGGTGTAGAATGGTACTTAAACTCTATTAGTTTTAGTGTAAAAATGAAGGAAGATAAGAATTTACAGTGTTATTTTCTTTTATGTCTACAAAGAGCTCTAGAGAGCACTCCAAAAACCTAACAGTGATTCCAAGCAGAGGGGTCTCCAGGTGGAGGAGTGGCAAGGAGGAAGGAAACAATTTCATGATAAGTCATCGTGTAAGTTTTGGTTTTGACTAAACAGTCAAATAAAAAAATAAGAAATCTATTTTTTTAAAACTTAGCTGAAAACATATAAAGCTAATCATAAGTAATGATACCTACCAAAATCTACTGATGTGCTAACTTATTTAGGAAATTTATAGTCTGTAGGCTCAGTTTCATGGCCTTTATTCATTATGCATAAGCATATCTTGCTTATTACATCTATTAATATATTTATAATGAACAGTATCTGTGTTTTAGTATGATCTGTGGATTCAGTTACCCAGAATCTTTTTCAAATTTCCAGAAGTTAAAGGTTTAAAACAAACAAGAAATTTTTCAGGTTCACTTACCCATTCTGCCACCTTGCTCTGTACCTTGACCTCAGGGTGATGAAGGATATTTTGAATCACTATGGATATTCTATATATAATTCCATCTGCCCGTTGGAAATAGGGTTAATCCATTAATTATATTTTATAGTCATATAAAACAACATTAATCACATAATTTCATACAAGTTCAAAGAAATGCTTGTTATGGAGTCATAGAAAATTTATGAAATATTTTGAGGTAACATTTACTGTCTTTTGCAACTTCTTAAAAATAAATATCAGTTTGCTCTTACAGAGGATTCATTGCTCCCAAATCATGTCTAGAATAGGACCTTTGCCAGGCTTGCATGTTTATTCAGAAGTTTTAGCTGTATAGATTTCTGGTATCTACCATCCATAAAATGATAATTTGATTTATCAAAGAAAGAAATCACGTTTTGTACACTATAAAGAATAATCAAGAGTCACTTGATTATTGTGATACTTGAATGAGATGATGGACAGATAGCCTAAAAACATCAGGCACACACATATTTGCTGCCCTTAAACTCTTCTCATTTCTTGCTAATCTCTCTCTCCAGTAAAACATTGACATCTACAAAACTATTGGGTTGGATGTCACCAGGTTTTTCATTAAAACTCTTAAATATAGTCATCATGCCAAAGTAGAGAGAGAAAAAAAGAGTATTTGCAGGCAGGCAGACTTTTAATTGGTCTAACTTCTTTTAAAAGAAAATTATATAGTGAAAAGGGACATGGTTTTTCCTTTAGGGGCAATCTTTAAAGTAGTCTGATTTTTTTTTTTTCCCTATGAAGAATTGAACTCACCAGCAAGAGATTGCTAAATCTCTCTTGCTTGTACTTAGGATGCTTGACCCAAAGAATCTAATGAGGAAAATATTATTTTAAAATATGGTGTGCTATAGAAAGAAGGAAAATTTTTGAATAATTTTGTCCATATCTTTCTTCATGCTTTGTTTAGCAAAGGGTCTTAAGTAAAATACACATAGAAAATACAGAAATGTATAATTAAAACAATGTTGAGGAAGATATTTAATTAAAAATTGTGGAAAGGCAGTAGAAAAAAATATATGTATGCTTCTGAAAACTCCCAAATCTACCAAAATGCAAATTCCAGTCCCATTAGTTAAGGAATGTCTTTCCAGTAAAGAAGTCAGTTTCACACTAAATAATATGAACTACCAATCCTGGATATAATAATGTAAATATATACCACTGGGATAAGTCAAAAAAAAAGTGAGTTTAATTTATGCAAATGGGGTTATTTCAACTTCTAAAACTCTTCAGATATTTTAATGAGGTATTTTAATGGTCTTGATTTTATATTCTTTTAAAATATGTTCTGAATGAAAAAAATACCCAAGGAGGAAAATTACAATAAATGACAACAATTTAAACAACAACAACAACAACAAAACCTTTCATAGTGTAGATCCATCATCTCAAATCATGAACATTCTGATAGGAAATTCAAGTTGCAAAGGTCCAAGAGATCCTAGGGATCCCATGTGAAAGTTCACCAAGGTTTGGAGAGTATCTAAAAAACTACCACTAGATGGAGCCCTGAAGCACTTTTTTTTTTTTTTTTTTTTTTGGTAATGCTTTCCCTCAGAAAAATATTGCAAAGTACTAAAAATCAATGTTTTTAACCACTGAAATTTTTGAAAATTTATGGAATCATCCAAATATTTCAGGTGGCTTCTTTAAGTTTTAAAGGCAGCTCCAGTTTTTTTCAGTACATTATTGTATTTACAAATGAGAGACATCCAGTATCATAAGCATCCAAGAGAGTTCTCTTCCTAGTTATATTGCCTACAGCCAATGTAATTAGTTAATATACCAAATAGCCTAGCATCTTATGGTACAGTTTCTCTTCTTCTATGGACAATTATCAGGCTGTCCCTCTTCTGAAGCCTCAAGATTACATATTTTGCAAACTTAGCTAAAAACTACTTGGCAGAATCTATTACTTTTTAAAAAAATTTTGAAGAGTCAATGAGAAATCATGAAGCATGTCCAAGGGTGAAGCATTAAAGAAAAGAAAATGTTCAACAAAGGGATGGTGACAATGGTTCTGGATAACAGCAAATCAGTTGGCTTCAACAGTGACACTGGAAGAAATGCAGCCAAGACACGGCTGCAGGCCCTCCCACGTCATCATAGCTCCTCTGCTCCCACGGACACAGCAACTTGCTTGTGAGTCAACATAACAGTCAATACAAATCTTCACGTGTTCCAGAGGCTTCAAAAGATGCATAGATTATCCTAATAATGCCACACAGGCCAGTAAAACTTCTCATAGATATCTCTTGAAAAAAATTAAAAATATATCCACTTTCCAATTAGAGAAGTCTTCCAGCCACACAGAATGTGAAAGTGGAAATTATTGTAGGTTATTACAGTTGTGGTATCAAAATGGTATTTCTTTTTGCAGGTTTCTCACCAATTAAACTTTCTTTTATTTGTTTGTTGCTGTTGTTTCATAACATTTTTAGAGTTTCTTGGAGGATAGAGAAATGACACTGGTATATCTAATTTTTCCTCAAGAGTGTGAAATATACCTTTGAAATGATGGGTTTGAAAACATTTGAAAAGATGTTAAAATCCAAACCAAATGTTTACATTTGAGACTATGTTATTAGTGATGAAGCCGTTATAATGTATCAATGGCATTTATAATATGACTGGCATCATGCAGAGCCTACAGTTTCTTGAAAATATCTGGCATATAAAGCTAGAGCGATTATTGGAGCCAGATAAATGTCCTATGAGTGAATTTGTGATCTGAATAGCTAAACATATGTGAGACCCTGGAAGGGGAACACAGCAATTTGTATTTGTAAATTAGATTTTTAAAACAATAATAAGAACTAAGAGTTAATTTCTTACTTGGGCTGTTTGTGAGAACTTCACAAAAGTTTACCGTCCAGTGTCACTAGAATACTGTTTCAAGTATAGAAGATAGGATTTGTAATGGAAATTATTAGTCTAGGAGTTTTCTTTTGGAAAAAACAGAAAGGTTCTTTATTTGTAGGAACACTGAGATTATCCTTAATATTCTGAAATACCAGTTTTTGTAAAAAGTACCTTAAATGCTTTCTTAGTGAAATCTGAGGTATCAGACAAAAGTCCTACTGAAAATGACAAAAGAGTTTTGCACAGAAAAACTGGAACATTTTACAAAGGTCAGGAAAACAAATTTTAATTGCTATATTATGGACATATATCTGATTATCGCCTCCCTGCCCTGGCAGACTGTTACCAAACTCAGTAAAACTGATCCACTGAAGTTAAAAGGAATGTAAGGTGATAACAGATTTGACATTTCTGTCTATCTTATTTACAGTGAACAAAATGGGACCTTCTAATATATGAGATTATAAGCCTGAGAATGTTTACTCTATCCATTTCCCAAAGAATAAGAAATTGTTGATAGTATGTGAACAGTCTTAGATAGTCCAGCACATAACACTGGATGTTATTTATTCACTAGGGAAAAAAAATCTCTTTCAATTGTTTCAAATTTGATTACATCAAAGAAAAAAAATCTTACTTGCATACTGTCTGTTTCTTATACTTTGCTACTTTTCCTTTTTAAAAAGGATAATGAGGACGTCAGGCTCTGAGATGTGAGAAGCCAACAGAATACAGAAAGAATCCAGAAACAATATTCACTTTACACTTCTTATTTTCACTTCTCTTTTATATATATAAAATATTATTATAGTTTATAATAATGAAATTTATTTTCTCATGTAAATGCAAATGTTTAAGTAAAATGCAAATCAATTTAGGAAATAAACATATGAAGTATCATAGGAGGTTCAAGGATATGATAAGTATTATTAAGATGGTGAACAAATTTGAGCACACAATTTTAAGACTAGTTCCTCCACATGAGTTTTGAATATTTTAAAATGCTGATTTAATTTTGAATGAGAATCCTCTGAATTAAGATTCTTTTTCATTAATGTGGTCAAGATAAACCATTTTAACTGATTCCAACATTTGCCTGCTTTGTTGAAACTCTAGTGAAGGTTATGACGCAAAGAGAGATGGGCCAAACAAGGCTCTCTTCAAGAATGTCAGAAGTGACATGATTGAGTGAATGCAGCACCACTCCACCAAGCCGAGGACTCTGAAGCTCCATATAAATGTTCTTGGGCAGTAGAGGATGTGCCAGTCCTGGAGGGAGAATGCCACAGAGGCTCTTTGTATGCTCATACAAAGAGTGAAATACTTAGTCAGAATTATAATATTCCCATCTGCTGGCAGGGCTCCATGTGAAATATGCTCTGGAAACTTGAGCGGCTGCTGCTTTCTTGGGGCTGGCTGGAATTTGTGCTCCATCATAAATCTCCTTGGTGTAACTAGCAGAACAACCATAAACACTTCCCTGAATCGATGTCTTTATAACCCTAATGAAATTTATATCTATGTTTCATGTAAAATATTCCATACTTCCAACTTAAGTGTCCTTACAAAGGAAGCTGATGTAACCTCAGAAGGCAAAAATCAAAAAAAATGAACGATGTGGGTTTCTTTGCTCTGTTTTTTTGTCCCTTGTGACACATTACAGATGTCTTGGCCTCACAAGCGAATGAACTAGGGTTTAGGAAATCCCAGTGTTTCTAAGATCTCATAGTTGAGAATATTAGTATGTTTGGGGCAATGGTGTGGTCACCTGATTGGAATTTCTCTTTAAGAAAAACTGAAATTGCAAACTTCAAATTACAAAAATTCTATGTATGGGTAGCAGGTCAAATAATAACTCGATTCACCTGGTGTTTCCTCGGCTCACACTTTACCTTATTATAACTACTATATTTGCAAATTATAAATAATATCGATAGAAAAGTAAATATGGAGAAAAAAGACAATAAATAATGGGAGTTATTTGAATCTTCATTATTAAAAAACTTAAAGGGACTAAAAGAGTAGCTTGATGGTACAATGCTTGGATAGTATGTGCAAAGCCCTGGGTTTCATCCCCAGCACATTCACTCACACACACATACACACAAAAAATAAATAAAAACAAGAACTATGATTTATTGTGTGTGTGTATATATATATATATATATATATATATATATATATATATACTCATATTCTAACCAATATTCATCAACAATAAAAATAGAGAGCAAAGTATAACCATGGAAATTGATTCAAGTGTCACAAACGTTTGAACATAAAGTTGATTTCAGTGAAAAAGTAAATTTCTAAAATTATTTAGTATTTTTTAATTTTAAAATCCATTTTCCTGAAGAGAATGAGCTGAATAAATAAATATCATGGAAAAATTAGCTTTTCTTTCTCAGATCTCTTTTATAATGCAAATTAATTCCTTTTAATTGAAGCTTTTTCTCTTAAAATTTCCTTTGGAAAAAACTTTGGCTAAAAGTGCAGAAGAGGAGTATGGAAATGAACTCATTCCACTGGTTATAACAATGGGGAGCTTGAGAGACATAAGTGATATTTATTTTTCTAGTCTTGCAAATGTACAGTAAGTATACCAATTGCCTCCAATAACAGAAATTTTGTTGGAACATCAAATTTCCCCACCCTTAGAATACATTCTTTATTTTGTTAGACATCCACAAATATAAAACATAATGATTTCTTACCATTCATTTGATTATCGACTGTATTAGTAACAGGCATGTTAGTGGTGACAGTGGGTGGTGTAGTACTAGCAGAGTTTACAGTAGCTGGTGATAAAGATGAGAAAGATGTAATTTTGCAAGGAGCACATAACAGTTAATATGGATGAGCGATCTATAATTAATGCATGAAAACACACAGAAGAGGAATGGAAACTATTTCTTGGCACCAAATACAACAGATTCCAAGGTTATAATGCAGAAAATGAAGTGATGCTTTCTATGGTCCATCAAGAATCAATTCACATGGCTTGTGGCCATACTACACAAGGGACTGGAGAAAAGGTATTTATAGTTTAGACCCAAGTGTGCCATCAACAGATTGGCAATCAAATAGCAAACAGATCAGCAAACCTTTCCATAACTCAGTTCCCTGAATTCATTAAAGGAAAAATTACAGAAGGCATTCTGTGCAGATTACACCTGGAAATTTATCCAAAGTCAGTCTGCCTGATACTCTGTGACTAGAGGAATAAAATCTCAGAAGAAAATACATCCCTCTTGAAGAAGAAAAATGTAAAGAAAAAGGAAAGAGAATGAAATGTACAGAGTAAATAATTTAAAGATCCCAATACCTTTACTTTAATATCGATGGATTAAAAAGTATTTCACAAGGGCAACCCTCACAGAGGAGACATTTTCAAAGCATTATGTCATAGATATGCTTCTAATACATTTCAAACTCTCAAAGATTAAACCCTTACACAATGCTTTGATAATATTTTCTAATGGATTGGAGGGGTTATATAAGGATAAATATATATATATATATATAGATAGATAGATAGATAGATATAGATATATAGATAGATACAGATATAGATATACACATGCATATATGTATACATATGTATCTATGTATGTATAGTAAAATAAAGTATACACACTATGTATCCAGTATATTCATGTTAGATGTACATTCATATATACAATAGCCATTTGTTACATATCTCTTTTAACTGAAAAATTATTTAAAACAGAATTACACAGAGAAATGCCTTCCAAAGGCTCTTTATAAAATACTGATTTCCTTGATGCATAATGTGCATTTATAACTAAAATAACTTTCCATTCCAAATACTTAAGAACTGGGAGTTATTTTTTAAGCCTTTTATTATCAACAATCAATTGTGTTTATTGTGATGCAAAATACATCACAAAAATGCTTTTTGGTTAGGACATGGGGGAAAGCAAAGAAAAAGCTGCATATCTGGTCCTTTGTCCCAGAGAGTAAGTACTTATAGATATCTTGGATTCAAATTAATAGAACAATTTAAAAAAAAAAAAAACTTTCAGATCCTGAACTAAATAAAGTTAATCTTTTTTGGTGTATTTCATATAACTATTTTAAAGTTACACTGAGTTTGTGAAAAGAAACCAAACTTACTTTTCATAGGGTTTTGACAAATAACAACACAAGAAATGTCTTAGGAAAACAAAGATAATAATAAGTTTCCCCACCCCTGCTTGCCCTAGTCCCACACTGGAACTCTAGAAAAGAGCTTAGGTTTCTACTTGTTTGTTCTCACTTCCAATCTGTCACCTTGGTGCCATGATTCTTTTTTAATAAGAGATTCAGCTTTTATAAAAGGTATGGCCATGGTTCTTATGTAGCACGTAGAACATGCTAGTTCACGTAGAAGTATTTAATAGAATAAATGGGTAAAAAGGAGCCATGGGTAATTAGAAGAAGCAATGATAAAATTAAAGCAACACATTTAAACTACTATTTTAAAACTATTTAGCATGCAACTATTTAGTGTATAATACATAATTAAATATTGACCACGATGTAGTCCTTAAACATCATAATAAACGTATTAACAATGGGTTAGTATAACCATCTTTATCTTAAGATTTAAGTTACATTGCACATCACAAACTGCCTCCCAGACTTGTCTTAAATTTAACTAAAAATTCAAAAAATTTCCTCCTTGTTTTATAGACACTAATACTTCTTCAAACTACTGTAAAACTATATTTATGCTGGACCTTTGCAATATTCTTGAGAAGAAACAAGGGAAATGGAATCCACCCTTGTTGAATAGCAAATAATCATTCACGTTTTTTAAAAAAACTCAGTGCTTCATGGAAATATGTCAACAGTGTGTGAATGCATTATTTTTCCACACTGCATGTACAGTGCACCAACACAACTAAAACACATCCAGAAATTTTTCTGTTTTGTTGGCTTCTGGCCTTCTAAGTGAAAATAAAGATAAAAATCAAAGCAATGACCACTACATGATCCAAAATAACAAGTACAACGTGGACTCCCTACCTTGACAGAGGGTCCCCAGTTCTGCACAGTTGGCTAGTTCTGCTGCCGGGAGCGGAATCAGGTAGGAACCTTGATCAACACAGAGGGAATATACCAATTTTGACTTATGATTAACTGACACCATAAAAAAATCATGAACCAGATAGTGGAATAGGAACAGCCCTAAAAAAAGCCCATCAATAATACTCTAACAGAAAAGTTTCTTAAGGTCACTGCAACCTTAATTTTCTCAAATACAAATTCGAGGTATTGAAATTACCCTCAAAATCTTGAACTCAATTTTTCAGCCATGCAACATGAAATGAAAGTAAGAGCTATGGTCCCTTATAGTTTGTGTGAAAAAAGGTCAGGGCTTTTTTACATAATTAATTATAAGGCTCTGGTGGAAAGTCATACAAAAATAGTACAGACATCAAGGCTAAGTTTCAAAAGTGAACTTGCAGAATTATGGATTACTCACCAAATACATATTTTTGGTTCATAGACACTAGCATGCCTATCCTACTTACAATCCTAGACTGTTTCTGTGATTCAAGTCAGTCTTGCATCTGTTTTGTTTCAGGCTTTTACTGACTCATTTTCAGCAGGAAGTAAATTTAAAGCTGATTTTCTAGAAGTAGTCGTGGATTTTCTCTGTTGCAATAAGACTTCCTGTGACAACTGACAGACTTTTACCAGTACATGGTGGCCAAGGAAGATGGGCTAAATAAACTTATTATAAAGTATACAGCATTTGAATAAAGTCATAGGAATAAATACAAAAGTAGATGACATACGTGTGTGTATACCTACAGATTCATATGTATGCACATACATATGTAATATTACATGTTTAAGGGACATTTATATGACAATGATTTCATTCTAATGTTTGAACCTTTTCCCAGCTTTCCCACGGGAAAAGGCAGAGCAGATGCATGAGCTCACAAAAGATTCCTAATGAGGTAAACGGTGTGCATAAGCAGAAAACACCCCAGCAGTTTAACAGCATCTCAGGAGGCACCATTTCCTCATTCTTGATTGCCTCAGGCACCAGGCTCAGGGAAGGGATCATGGTATACCAGAAAGGCCAGCCTTACAAGCAGGTCTATGATGTGATATCAACTAGCAAGAAGCTCTCATCAGACCTTTATATGTTCATGCAACACAAACTCACTCATTGCCTACAATACATGAGGCACGGAGGTCAGGACAGTGTCCCCTGCAGTGCTGCTGCTCTCAGAGGCATGAATGGAGCTGGCTGCACAGTTCTGAGTGCTGAGGGAACGGTGGTGGTAGCAGTCCCCAGGGGGATATGACAGCAGCTTGGTGAGGAGAGGGAACAGGAAATCTATTACAATGAAGGAGACCCAGGAGGCATGTGAAGTAAGAGACCTGGGGCTGCCAGACGATTTCTAAAGCATATACCAAGAAGGTACTGAAGAGATCTGGGAACTCAAGTAATGTGGCATTAAAAATGCAATAGAGTAATTATAGAGAACAGTAGGGACATCATGATACACAGGTAATCAGCAGACAGTGGAGGGCCTTGTAGTAGGAGAGACACTGTGTCTTTCTTCCAGTGGTGAATCCCACACACAGTAGGTGGGTGCTCAAGCTGAACTGAATAAATTACTCAACACATTATGAATGACTGCTAAAATTCTGACCTTTTTCTTAAAGGCAATGGGAAAAAATGAATAAGAGCTAGGGAAAATTAGATTTATATTTGAAAACGATAATTTTTGACATTCTCTCACCAAAACAAGGAAGACACAAAAAGAAGGAGTAATACTAACAATTCAGGCTTGATATCATGAGTATAGTGAGGAAGGACAGAGAGAAGCATACATGGATTTAAGATTTATCAACTTACAGAAGAGAAGAAAGGACATTTCGCTAGTTTCCAAATTGAGAAATAGGCACATAACCATCTCATGAAAGGAGACAGGAAATACCAGGACTGCAAACTTAGGTGGAGATGGGTAAAGAGTAAGGGCTGTAATGAAACTGAGGTGCTGTGCAACATGGGTCTTCCAAGAGGCCTAACCTCACGGTTTTGATATGAGAACAGAACAGAATGAACTCTGGATATTCCCAGGGTTAAGCATCAGTCATACAGAACACAGAAGTTAAAAACAGCTTCTGTGGAAAGTGGTCTCAGGGAACATAAGTGAAGAAAGTTCAGTGAAGGGTGTGGCGGTACCAATCAAGTGTGCCAGAGGGGCAAGGAAATGATGGAGACCCATAAAGAGTCCTCATTTTGTTCTAGAATTTTGGTAGCAGTTCTACAGAAATTAGTTTTAGTCTCATGGGAATGATTCAATTCAGACTCCTGAGGTTTGAGGAGTGCATGCTGGATGAGGATGTTTGGTTGTGCAAGGAAGCCGAGATGGGGAGGGACTTTAAAAAAGTTTTAAACACTCAAAAACTAAACCAAGTGTAGTCTGGCAAAAAAAAAAAAAAAAAGCATTTGAGGAGGCAGAAGGTATGGCAGGATGGAGGGAGAATCATTTCATCTTGAATGCCATCTGCCCTCATTCCTTTCCATCACCATGTATGTCCACTTTTTTCAGGACCTCATTCTCCTACAGGCACTCTTGTATTTTGGTAATGAACTTTTAAAAGTGAAAAAGCCTTTAAAACTCAGAGCGACTGAGGAAATCTCAGTCACTAACATGCAACAGAGGAGACGGTTGGATCGAGTCCTCTGGTTCTCAAATTACACACAATGCTGGCAGTCAAAGGCTCCTTAGGCCACTTCTGGAACTGATACAATATCTCTGGAAGACAAAGGGAGATAAGGGACAGTGGTGTGGGAAAGAAGTTCTTAAGCTAACTACATTTCCACTACATTATGTTAGAGAGTTTAGAGGGGGAAAAAAAAAAGAAAAGAAAGTCAGACAGCTATGATTTAGAACAAGATATGCAATCATTTTCTTGAACATTTTATCAGTTTCACTGTATGGTACCAAGTATAAATATCAGTGTGTGACGGGCTTTCCTGGGAAATTATAGCATTTGCCTCTCAATATTTTAATTTGTTGTTCTTCCTGGGAAATTTTACATTAGCAAATTAATATTGCCTTATAAATACTCAATAAACACTATTTTATGATGATCTAACAGGGCAATAGAAATTCAATAGAAATTAAATATGAAAACTGCATTATGAAAGTGGTATAAAAAATAACCAATTTAATTGGAAGGAAGTTACCATAGTGAATGAGATTTGACACTACAAATACACCAAATTACATAAACAAACACATGAAATATAAAATGTCTATACAGTCAGGCATAGTGGTGTGTGACTGTCATCCCAGCTACTCAGGAGCTGAAGCAGGAGGATCACTTGAGCCAATGAGTATGAGGCTAGCCTGGCTAACATGGTGACATCCCATTTCAAATAAAATCAAGTAAACAAACAAAAAACCCAAGAGCAAACCCACTCTTCCATTACTACCTAGTTCCATTTCCAGCATATCTGTATAAAATAGCCAATGTCATGATCAATTTGGCTAGGCTGATGGATTTACAAACTGGGAGCTTAAAGAAGAGGGGACAATCTTCTCTTCCAGATACTGACATATTTATCACCAACAGTTTTTATAACATGAACTGTGTATGTTCCCTGATTTTTGAGGCTAACAAAAGTGTTTACTTAATAGAAAAATTTAGTCAAGTTTTCTTGAAAAAAGAAACAAAAACGTATATGAGGAGTTGGTGAACAGCTACATAGCTCCAATCTTTTTTCTGTACCTATTGTTGCTCTTCCCACATCACACTACTGAAAGAAGTCACTATATATTTATGTAAGTTATGGTTTAAATGGACAGATGTGCAGCCAGTAGCTTATCTCATACCCTACTTGATAACCCAAATAATGGTAACCCTAACAGTAATTTCCAAAAAGCATAAAATTAAAAATTGGACCCTTCCCTTTTCTCTTTCAGTCGTTACTAAGAAGGATTTGATAAATTTTCAATAAAATATGTTTGAAATTAAATTATTTCTGGAAATTACTATGCTAATAAAGAGTTTGAATCTTCTCAAAGAATAAAATTCCTTGTAAAGATAAAGTGATTCTATCTTACTTTTATTTCAAGATGATTTAGAAATCTAAAAATGCTAAACTCAATAATTTGTTAGGGAGAGAGGGCAGGATTCAACAATGAATGAGTTTTATAGCTGTGAGGGATAGAACTGTAGAAATTAAGAAAGGGCAGGTCTCTGAGAGCTGATGAAGCCATAGCAACAGGGTGCAAAATCTTGAAGATGAAAACAAAAGTCTATAAAATTGTAAAAATTTCTGGAGAGGAATAAAAACAAAATCGGGTACTTGTGATCTGTGTCTTATCTCTATATCCACAGTGACTAATAGAGGGAAGTGCTTAAGCTATGCTTGTTAAATAATGTAATTTGTTTGAACTCCTGCTATTCATTGAGTTATACTGTACCACTCCTCAGGAAAGAGCGGTAATCAGTAAAATAAATAAAACGGTTAGAGAGAGCACTGTCTGTTCTTTGTGAAAACTGATGGACATCAGCCAGTGTCTAAACCTGAATTATAACACAGGCAAATGCTTGCACCTATAATTAAAGAGTCAACTAAGAAGATTATCTGTTCCTGAAGGTCATAAAAATGAATGTTTAAAATTTTGTTCTAGGAAAAATAAAGGTGCCACAATGTGAAAAAGAATTATTGCTACATAAATCATTTATTTCTGGACAGGAGAAGATTTAATCATAAATTTAAAAATCAGGGGAAATTTTCTTAATTCAGGCATATTCATTCCCCAAATAAACTTTGAAAAAATAAAGGGAAACAAAATGTCCAATTATGAAATTGTTAAAGCTTTTAATAATAACATTCATGTTATTATGGCAAGGATATTTAATACATGGGAAACAAATGACAGGATATTTAAATATTAAATGCAGACTATTGTTTTACTATCTTACTTTCATTATAACTAATCTGGCAAAACACCACTGGAAAATCCATCCATTTCCTATTACAAATTGATGCTGGAATAGCTCATACCTAATAGACCCTGTCAGTCCAGTGGAATGCTAGGAATGGGATCCTATTTTCTCACTGGTTACTGTACTGATCATTAGTTTGTTGGAAATTAAGATAACCATAGACAGCAAAGCAAAATGTTCTCCAGAAGGGAAAAAAAAAGAAAAGAAAGGTTAAAATGTTAATAGAACACACTTTTTTCTACTTCTTGAAGTTTTTCTTTGCTAACAAAACTAGATATAATCTCTGGTTCAGGTATTTCCTGTCAGTTAATAAGTAACTGGGATTCTTCAACTCCCAGAGCTGATGATTAAGCAACAGGAAATCCCCTTCTCCCATAATTACTCCCAACACACAGTCCAGGGCACAAGTGAACCCAATTGGGGTGTCTAGTGTCATCCTGGAATGGAAAGAAGGTGTCTATAAAAGAGAGATTCAAATTAACTCACTTTGATGCTTGTGATAGTTCTTTGATGAAATCATTTTGAAAATGACTAAGTCATTTTGCAAATGACTAAGGTACATGAACATGTATATATTCTAGTACTCTTTTTTTTTTAAAGGGAGAGGGAGAGAGAGAGAGGAGAGGGAGGGAGGGAGAGAGGGAGAGGGAGAGGGAGAGGGAGAGGGAGAGAGAGAGAGAGAGAGAGAGAGAGAGAGAGAGAGAGATTTTTTTAAAGAGAGAGAGAGAAAATTTTAATATTTATTTTTTAGTTCTCCACGGACACAGCATTCTTGTTTGCATGTGGTGGTGAGGATCGAACCCGGGCCGCACGCATGCCAGGCGAGCGCGCTACCGCTTGAGCCACATCCCCAGCCCCATTTCTAGTATTCTTAAGGCTTGGAAAAGAAGTCTTGAAGATAAGAGTTTAAAAAACATGAGGATGCATCATCTCATTACATGTGGATTCTAAAAAAGTTGAAATTATAGAAGCAGAGAGTAGAATGGGGGTTCTTAGGGGCTGGAGTGTGTGAGATAGAAAACTACAGTTAAACAGAAATAAGAAGACAAGGAGATGTATTATGCAATATGATGACTATAGTTAAAAACAATGTAATGTACACTTGAAATTACTAGGAGAGTAGGTTTTGAATGTTCTCAACACAGATAGATGACAAGTATATGAGGTAACAGATTAAGTAGACTGAATGAATTAGGTAACAGGTTAATCAGCTTGAATTAGCCATTCTACCAAGTAAAACATATGCTGAAACACCACATGGTATACCACGAATCACTACACTTTTTGTCTGCCAATTTTTAAAAATTAAAATTAATTAAAAGCAAAGAAAATATGAAGACTCCCAGATACAATCTGGAGGAGACCAGAGTTTTAGCCCACCAACCATCTCCACTACTCAATTTCCCTAAGGTTCTAAGGTTTCCCACCCTATATTACCAGAAAGCAGTAGCCTAAACTGCGATTCTCAAACTTAAATGCCTACCAGGGTCAGAAGGTGATCTAAAGACAAAAGAAAGGGCTGCAGTAGGAAGGATATGGGGAGTGCTGAGGGCTGAGGTGACCTGGAAGATCCCTAAAGGAGCAGATGTCACTTAACTCCACTTGCATCATCCATGTAGAAATTCCAGCCAAGTGCTAGTATTTTGATTGCCAGAAGAACTCCCAATATTCATTTTTGTGTGAGATCTATTTTTTGTTTAATGTGGGAAATAATTCATAGTTTAAAAGAATTATGTGGAACAAAAGCAAATAAATGACAATAAATACCACCACTGCCAACCAAGACTAAGGGTTAAAGAGCCTGTGAGTGATTGGCTCACTTTGCCTGAAGATCTGACAGGTCTTTTCCAGGTTTTCCCAAAATGTGAACTTCAGCAAAATGGACCCTCATGATTCCTTGGACTAGTTCTAGTGTTGGCAATTTTCTCACCAAGAGCTTCATAGTAAATATTTTAGGTCTGTGGTGTATCCATCACCATCAGTCAACCTAGCCACTACAGCACAGTTGAAGCCATAGAAAATATATGCAAAATGGGCACGGCTATGTTCCAATGAACCTTTTATTTTTTAAAAAAGTGGCCTACCATAAGCTCTTAAAATTGTAACTTCTGGCCTCAAGGATCTCATAGTTTAGGAATCCCTGTAATACTATGTCCCTCATATTTTATTATACTAAGGTATCCAAGAAGCACTGCAGGAAAGCAACCTTATTAAGTTTGTTTCAAACAAATACTATGTTAACACCCTGTAAATCCAGTGTTTTCCCTCAGAATGTACAAAATGTGTTACTGGTTCTTGGACTTCATACTCTTCCCATGGGCACAAATTAGCTCAATTACTCTAGTACCATGTCACATTTTCTAGTCCTTCTTATGCTGAATAACTCTATAATTTATACTGGTTAAGACAGCAGAGTTCTAAAGTCAGCTGTTCTGGGTTCAAATCCTGATGTGGTCACTTACTAATTTAGTGTCATTGGTTCAGTTATTTAATCTTCTCATTCCTGATTCCTCTTCTGCAAAATGGGGTCAAGAATAGAACTCACATGATAAGATGAATAATGTAAGAAACTATTAAATATTTGTAAAGTTTTTGAAATGATATTTAGTATATGTATTCTATTTCAATGTAATTTTGGGTTATCCCAGTCCTCAAGATATTGCTTCATAAAAAGGCAAATATCAGAATAGTCCATATTGTGACTTTTTAACACTGGCTAAGAATATGATGGAAAGAAGGCCTTGGACTGAAACTGATCTCCAAGAAAGTAGGGAATGCTCCCCCTCCTCACTCTTGATGCCACACCAAACACATACACTTGACCTTCTACATTTCCTCACTGAGTGAAAGACTTCTATAGGAGTCACTGAAGGTTCTCTAGCTAACCTTAGACCAGAGTATGATCTTAAGGAACACTCTTAGCTCTTCCAAAGTTTCAGTCTCCTTCCAGAACAGGTTTGTGGTTCACCCCTCTTTCCAACAATCCATAAGAAAATGTCTTCCAAATGACATCAGTTGATAGCCTTCCTACCATCTGCAGGAGTGCTGTGGACCACAGAGAGAGATGGGTGACCTCCATGGAGGGAAAGGTGACAGGGATTTCCCAAGTCCGAAAGACAGGCACAGTCCAGGATACTTGGGGAGGTGGCCTCAAATTTACAATGGGTCCTCCTTGGTGCAAAATATGAAGGAAGATCTGATAAAATTCTTCCCAAAGTTACATAAAATTACTTTGGACTTCTAGACCTCTTCTGCTCTCCTTTACTGAGAGTTAGCTCTGTGACTAAAAAGTACATATTATCAATAGTTTAGATTATCAATGGCATTTAAAATTGATAATAAGGGGCTCAGTGGTAGAGAATTTGCCTTGTACACATGCCTCACACTCGATTCAATTCTCAGCACCATATAAAAATAAATAAAATAAAGATATTGTGTCCAACTACCAAAACAAAGCAAAAGTTGGAATAAAAAAGTTGTTTTTTTAAAAAAATCTATATAAAATAAAATAAAATTGATAATAAAATATTTACTGTTATGTTTAAATAAAACCTATAATAAAGACTTCCAGAATTAACTTGTATACATAGGAAATATTTGATAGAAGTCTATGTTTTAGAATTAGTTTTCTAAATACTTTGCATTTACCTACTTCCAATAATACCACATTAAAAGTTTCCTAAAAGGGAACCAGAGAGAAAAATATTTTAAATGACTACAAATGCTCATTTTCAAACAAATGAAGATAAAAGTTCAAAGAATAAATTGATAATTTCTGACTATCAAGATTTTCCATAAAATGGACAATTCAGTGTTTAGTACTGGCTGAGCAAATAATATTCTCTTAGGTGGTAGCTGTTTATTTGGGCAATGCAATTATAATTTCATTCTAGGATGGTAAAGATCAGGTTATTAGTAGATCACTTTCGTGAATAATAACTTATTTATTAATTTATTTTGTTTCAAACCAAGAGCTAACATTTCTATTTGAGACACAATAATTATAACTGTTTTGATAGTGACAAACTGTGTGACATTCTATGACCTAGGGAAACCTTAAGAATGGCAAGACCAAAAGCTTTCATTGAGTCAGCATGGCTTATAATCAAATACAATTCTTGATTATGTTGTGATGATGGAGCAGATAACATTTTAAAAATTTAAAGAGCTCCTTAATGGTAATTTTATGCATGTGTGTGTGCAATTTCTTACTGACGCACATTTTCATAGAACAATGCTAAAAAACAAAGACTATCAATTCTCTATGCCACAGACTTACCACAGCTTAGGTTGCTTTCAGCTTTCAGAGCGAGGGTTGGGATGTTCCAAAAGTCATTCTGCCAGTCAACCACGTTCCCTTTCACATTGCAGCTGAGGTTGGAGAGGATCTTCGAATTCATGGTAAAATTCCAAAGCCGAAAGTTATAAATATCCCCTCTTAGGGAGGCAATTTCATTTTTATTGGAGCCCAACAACAATTTCCCATTCCCAGGAATGACTTTACTAATGGTAGAATCACACGGGACCATTTCGTAGATTCTTTTGAAATGGACACCGACAGAGCCTAAAGAATTATTCCAAACCATGCAGAGCTGCTCAAAGCTTTCAGTGAAAATGTCTTCTTTATCTTTCACAGGTAATGCGCTATTCAGCCAGCATTTTGAGCCAGAAATATTTAGGAAGTAGTCACCATTGGCCTTTCCAAAAGTGAGCAAGGGTTCGAGGGATGCATCCGAGTAAGAGAACGCCACCCAGTCACTGTCTTCATTGCCAACTTTGGCTGCTTCGAAGCACAGCGTGAAAGCACTGAGCGCTGGAATGGAGACACTCTTTGCAACAGATACCTGGTAAGCATCTACTGACTGGGGTAAAATGACTTTTTGATTCCTTAAGGACACAGCAACTAGGACAAAACACAGCACCAGAGATAAGACATGTTAACTGCAGAACAAGGACTACAGAGATGCAAACATCTGACCTCTTCTGTCCTCCACCACTTTCTACTCATTGACTTTTATCCACCCTCTGCCTGCTTGCTCCCCTCTTTCTCTGCCCTTCCTCTATCAACAACCCCTTACCACTGGTCTTAAACCAATAATAACACCAATAAGAAATCCTACCCATTTTAACTCTAATCATGATTGAATCTAATGCTTAAACTCAATTGAAGTTATAGCAAGCTAAGTTGGTAAGTATTTTTTAAATCTCTGAGTTCAAAATTAAAAACAAAACAAAACAAAAAAACTCACATAACTCCCCAATTAAGAAAGAACTAGTTTCCAAGAAGGCTTTGTATACACATTAAGATTTTTAAAATTATATTATTTTAACTGGGCGTGGTGGCGCATGCCTACCATCTCAGCAGGTCAGGAGGCTGAGACAGGAGGATGGCCATTTCAAAACCATCCTCAGCAACTTAGTGACGTGAGACCCTAAGTGAGTCGGCAAGACCCTGTCTCTAAATAAAATATAAAAAAGGGCTGAGGAATGTGGGTCAGTGGTTAAGCGCCCCGGGTTCAAACTCCACTACCAAAAAAAAAAAAGTTATTTTTCAACTGTATTCTAAACATAATCAATTGTTCCATGTTTCATCACTCTTCCTGAACATTTCCAGACCTCCTTCTTCCCTTCAGATATTCCATATCCTTCTCTTTCTTCCCATCAGCAGGCTATTTTAGGAACAAATGTAAGTAGAATTTTATTGAGAAGAAAGAGTATAAGGCAAAATCCAACATAAATGGTATTTTAAGGTGTGGACCTTTTAAACCTGGGCATACGAGCTATTTTTGAGGGGCACTAAAGAGTACTGGTTAAAGGACAGACAATGAAGCTTCATATCCCAGCTGTTCTATAGAGTAACCATGACCTTGGATTACTTTGCCTCTCTCTACCTTAGTCTCCTCATCTGTAAAATAAACAGTGGTACTATTAACTATATGGTCAATCAGAACCAAATAAGTTAATATCTTGAAGCAGAGAGTGGTGACCATCCCATAGCAATAAAGAGGAAGTGCTTATTATTATTATTTGTATAATAAATGAAAATAAATGCATTCATTGGCCTACTATATCTGTGATATATATGAAATTATTAAATAACACTATGAACATATTCCTATGCTAATATAATAGAAGTTGATTTAAGGATAAGTATGTTTCCTTAACAATGCTATTTAAGGGGCTGGGGTTGTGGCTCAGGGGTAGAGTACTTGCCTAGCACATGTGAGGCACTGGGTTTGATCCTCAGCACCACAAACAAAAATAAATAAAATTATTTAAAAAATGCTATCTAAAAACTGTTTCATATGAATGGCAGTGCACATGAACATATGTTAATATACACCAAGAAGAGCTGTATAAGACATCATTTAATATAAATATTCTAGTAAAAAATCCATAGTAGAATTTTAGAGAACTGTGAAAGTCTACATTTTAAATATAAGGCAGTTCAAGGTCTGCTTATGTGAAGGGATAGTCATGCAATATGAATCTAGTATTCTATATGCATTTTATTTTTTTGAAAGAGGCTAGAAGGAAACAGCTGTGGATATTTCTTATGAGTGGTTATGAGTGTGTGGTGGGTATACAATGAATATTAATTCATGTCTTTTTCATTTTCAATTGTCCTATATTTCATATTTTTAAAACATTGTTTTGAAAAATTAAATCAAGTGTGTTTTACTTAACCACACATCTCTAATATCAATCACAAACAGTAAATAACTTCTCAACCAAAACACAGTTTGTAATGATGAGGGCCAGCCATTCTCATGGTTGCATCTGTCTGTCCCTCCCTCCCTCTCTCCCTTTCTTTCAAATATATTACATCTACTTAGGAAGCTCATAAGAAGAGGGAAAAACAAAAACAAAAATATGTAACTAAATTGCATAGTCTTAAAGCTTAAGCTTCCTTAAGCAAAGCCTGGTTTTAGAGATTACAAGATTATTTTAATGTTATGAGATGCTAGAATCTGGGAAACATTTACTAATAATGTTTTATTTTTTTCAGTTAAGTACTTTCAGGGGGCTTTCCTCAGGCTAAGTTGTTACCTTAATTATTAATAGCTCTTTGTAAATTTACATGTGTTTTCTATATTTGTCCCCTAGGGTGGTTTTTTCAAAGGACAACATCTCTCTGTATATATATATTTTTGCACTGGGGATTGAATCCAGGGTTGCTTTACTACTGAACTACATCCCCAGCCCTTTTTTTTTTATTTTGATGTAGAGACTCACTAAGTTGCTTAGGGCCTCACTAATTTTCTGGTGCTGGCCTTGAACTTGCCCAAAATAAAATGATTTCTAAATAAGGATGCTTTAAATTTTCAGTGGAGAGTTGTTAGAATTACAGATTTTAATTATTAGCAGTGGAGTATCGACATTGTCTTCCAAGCAGCTTTTAAATGCTCTGCATATAAACAGTATAAAAGAATTAAGCTCTACTGTAACCAGATTTGGGATCTGGTAGTCATAATTTACTAATGAGAATGCTTAGAGAACATTAACAGATTCTTGCCCTTAAGTCCTAATCCTAATCATTCACATTCACATAAAAGAGCATAACTCTGTCTTCTGGTCTTTGTGTTTACTGTAGCACATGTTAACTGAAAACAGAAGGTTGGCGCTGCCTTTGGTTTACATACCTCTGATGTAGCTGGCATTGAAACCTTTCTTCTGGATGCTAAAGTCACTTGAAAAGGACACATGCATCTCATTCGCACTTGAGTTAAATGATAGTCCTTTGGCTGTTGCTCCACAAAATTTAGTCTGGCTCTCTCCATTATCAAGGGATAATGAGTCATAAATGCAATTGGGAGCTTCTTCAATGTCAAAGTCATTAAACGTTATCTGAATGATGTAGCCAGTGGGGGCTCGCAGGGTCCACATGCAAGCCTGGCTGTTAGGGTAGTCGTTGGGGTAGCACGGAGAAGTAAAGGTCCCAGACGGGCTGGACAGGACGACCCTGCAGTTGGCACATCCTCGCACTGTTGGCCAGACAAAAGAGAGACAGGGAGAAGGGCTGGGATCAGACGTGCACAATAAACCAAGCATGCCACACGCTGGGGACAGTCAAACAGAAAACATTTAAAAATACCAAAATACAGTCGGGAAAATTAAAAGGACCATGAAACCATTTCAAGAAGAGAAAGAAATGCCAAGGGTGCAACCAAAAGGAAAAGAAAAACACAAAAATTTAGAGCAATGATTTTTAAACTCTAGGTGTTATATATAATGCACACGGGTCTTGCCATATATCACATCCAATTTCACGATCACAAAGAGCCTGGGGAGTCACCAGTGGATTTCACAAAGGTTCACTGACCCAAGTTAAGAAACTCCACGTAGTAATAGAACTGGATGGGAGAAGGTATAATCCATAAAGGTAGAGCTCAATATTACAAACCATGGAAACAAAGAAAAGAGAAACTCTTAGGAAATAAATGGTCGAAGAGAAAGCTAAAAACACAAAAGTTAAACAGGTTATCTTAAGGCAGATTGTACTTTTCCTCAAATTCAAATAAACATTATCACCTTGCGTGTGTAGAATATTTATAGTACTGAAAGTACTTCCATTTATCCCGTTTGTTTATCATGGTTGGTAATTATATGCTTCAGTGATCATCTCATTTACTCATTCATTTAGCAAATATTTACTGAATGCCCGAGTGTGCCAAGCACTATTCTAAATAGTAACATACCGTACTAACGGGAAAGATGCTCTCTGTGCAGGTTTACACTTCAGTCTCAGACCTAAACCAATATTAAACATAATTACAGATGATGATAAAGAAGGGGGGGGCGAGTAAAGCAAGGGATAGACAGGGACAAGAATGGGTGGGCAAGTTGGGTAGTTATCCAAAGAGGTGACGTTTGTGCAGGGATCCAGATGAAGAGATGGAGCATGTCATCAACACACTAGGGGAATAGCATTGTAGGCTAAGGGTCCTCAAAGCCTCACTAAATGAGAGCTGGGTCTCTCCCACTGAACTGCATGTCCCATGAGGCCAAGGGCCACATCTCTGTTGCTCATCACTTTGTTCTCAGTGCACAGGTGATATGCTTTAGACATGAGGTGTTCCCCAAAAGCTCATGAGTTAGACAATGCAAGAAAATTTAGAGGTGAAATGACTGGGTTATGAAAGCCTTAACCTAATCAAGACATTAATCCCCTGATAGGGATTAACTGAATTGTGACAGTCTGTAGGTAGGCTACAGCTGGAGGAGGTGGGTCACTGGGGATGTGGTCTTAGGATATGTAATTTGTCCTGGGAGCAGAGCTGTCTCACTCTCTCTGCCTCCTGGTGTGATGTCCTGAGCTGCTTTCCTCCTCAACTTTCTTCCCCCAGGATGTTCTGCCTCACCTTGGGCCCTGAGGAACACAGTCAGCCATCTATGGACTGAGACTTCTAAAACTGTGAGCCCCAAATAAACTCTTCCTCCTCAAAAATTGTTCTTGTCAAGTCTTTTGGTCACAGTGATGAAAACGCTAACTAAAACAACAGGGTAAACTTGCAATGAATATTAATCAAATGAATATATATTTATATAAAAGAAACTTCTGAGACAGAGGGGAACATTATGATAGCATTTTCACTAACAAGAACATCGAGGATCTTCTCAATTATTTACCCATGGCCTGGGCAGCAGCTGGAACCAAAAATTAAGGTCAGCCGTCTTCCCATCCAGAGATGCTTCTACATTAATATTCATGCTGTTTAAAAATGTTTGCATAGATGAAGGCAGCAACTTTGTCCAAACAATAGTCCAGATAAATAAGCTGCATTAAAACTGCCAGATGGGGCTGGGGTTGTGGCTCAGTGGTAGAGCGCTTGCCTAGCACATGCAAGGCCCTGGGTTTGATCCTCAGTACCACGTAAAAATAAATAAATAAAATAAAGATCTTGTGTCCAGTTACAACTAAAAAATAAGAATTTAAAAAAATGTTAAAAAACATGAAAGACATCCTCTCAAAAGTAAAACCCTTTAACCATGTTAACAGAAAAGGCTTTAAATATATTGTTTTCTTCCTTTAACTAAACTGAGTAGAATGCCTACGTAGCAGCTTTTCTTGAAAATGGCAGTTATGACAAGTATTTCTGATGCTTCTGATATTCTCAAGGACTGAAAGCTGGTAGGCTGCTGAGGTTAGTTTTCCTTTCTTCTCTCTGTGGCCACTGGATTCACCTCTTCTTTGTCTTGCCACCTTGGCTCCCCACCCACTCTAACTTGCCCTCCCACTGTTCCTCCTAAGGCTCTGATATCTTATACTGGGCCAAAGACAGAAGAGAGAAAACAAATTATGATCCTCACGTGTCTGCCAAATGCCTTCTCTTATCTATCCCTGGAGCACCATGTTCCACACCATTACAGTACTCTTCAGAGCAGCTGTGTTACTTCTATTCATGAGATTGTTTGCTTACTGTCTGTCTTCTCCCATTAGCTCAATAAAAGGTACAAACCTGTTACATTCACTACCCTATTCCCAACACCCCACAGTAGCCAAGGAACATGAGAGAACCTCAGTAAAATCTATTAAATTTATAAACAAATAAGATAGTAGCTTAAATGAATGAAAACATGCCTACATTAAAGAATGACTATGTGCAGCACATGAAACCAGGTCAAATAAATTCTAAGCCTGTAAAAAGTCTGAATAGTGCATAAAATCTGGAATGTCTCTTTGGATGGGGCTTCTGGATCTTTCTTCAGATGATTTCATACATAGCACAGGATTGAGAAGACTTGGACTCTCTGACAAGTTTAGCAACCCATTATTATACCTTGGACTCAGGAGAGAGAAACATCCCTAGTCAATGATTTATATACAATAAATTTATCCAGTAATAGGCACTGGAGATTTAAAAAGAAAAAAAAAACTTAAGGAAAATAAGAAACATCATCCCATCATCTGTGTCATCCCAACATTCAGACAGGCACTATAATTTTTCCAAGATGAGATGTCATTTCTTATTGCTCAGATCCAAGCAATATTCAGAACTTACTTTATCCTGATATATTAGTTTTGCATAATCCCTCATAAAAGCTGAATAGAGGGTAAAGGAAATTAAATTTGACTGATAACACTGACTATGCAATCCTAAACATTAAGTTCATTTCTCTGGTCCTGTTTCTCCACCTCTACACAAGGGTTAACAATAGTACCCACTTTCTGGGGTTATTGGGAAGATCACTTGGGTTAATATTAAATAGTCCTGAAGGTTGTATGTGGCATGTTTTTAGCACTATATAAGCATTGGCTGATCAGGAGTCGTTAGTATAACAACAAACCTGTGCATCCATAATGTAAGAGAAGTAGAACAGCAGCCCACCTCAGTAGAATCTTTTTCTGTAAGGAATTCACTGAATAAAATACAGAGAGGTAAGACATCCATAAAACACATTAAAAAACATTTCAAAATATTCTCTTATATAAGTCTCATCCATAGTGGCTAGACAACATCTAGAGATAGTGCTACTAAATTGTAATTATCTTAACTGGATAAAATGCCAATTAAACTAGTTTATTATCATCATGTTCATTATATTTATGGATCACATCAAAGTAAAGAACTTTCATATATATAATTTCATTTAATATCACATTAACCCTGGTATTATGACTACCCCATCCTTTGAGGAAATAAATAAAACTAGGTTCTATAACTTGCTCAAAGTTACATATCTGATTGATAGTACAACCAAGATCCAAAGCAACTCTTCTGAATCTAAGTCTAGAGTCTTTTAGGGGAGAAAAAAATATCACAATTAAATAAGTGATTCAGAGCAAAATAATGAGCTTGGTTACTTTTTAAACAACATTTTTTAAGAGTCTATTTCATCAGCTTAAAATTTATGTTTTAAAATAACTAATTTGGAAATAATTTAGTAAAGAATGTTAGAAAGTCTGAAATATAGGGCTTTGGATTTGTTTAGAAAAATCTAACATCATTGTTTTAACTGATTCCTACACTCTGAGACAGCCCTTTAATGAATAATCTGTTCTCTCACAGGGCAGAACTGCTGAAAAGGAAGCTACTGAAGTAGCCACTGAGTAAGACCTTGCTGAAACCAGGATTAACATATCTTCTAGAAGCTACCTAACTCAAAGCATCTGCCTCATCATGTTCTCAAGGACAAGAGAGAGTAATGTGTCCTCACCTCCAATCTGTAACACAAAGTTTTCAGGCAACCTAAACATACAACAAACCGAATGCCACCCTCTGCCTGTGCTTACACGTGTCCAGCCATCATGTACTTTCCACATTTTCACAGAAGTTTGTTCTTCAGCGAAACTCAAATCTACATGGGAAACCTCCCAATCATACCCAAGACTACTCTCAAACAACACTGAAATTTAATAACCAGCATTTTATGGGGATTTTTAATCTCAGAGATTTGGATCCTTACTCCATTCTAGCAGTCGGACTTCTCATAAAATGCAAATACCATGTTTTTTTTTTTTTTTTTTTAATAGGAATTTTTATAAACAGGAATCTCTCTAAAATAGGAATTTCAGATCCCAAGAGATAAATCAAATTAGAGACCTATTTTAGCTGCTTTCAACACTGATCTCTCTGCCTGGCACTGAATAACTGCTTTTTTTGTTTTGTTTTTTCCCTGCACTGAGTTAAATGATGAACAAAATGAATACATTTAAATCACATCTTTTTTCTTTATTTGGATGTGAGTAGGAGGGTAGCTAATTAATTTGCTGGAAAAGTTGACGAGTGAAAATGATCTCCATGAAAACTTAGCGTAAGTCATCTTTTCAATTTACATCTATTTGAAATCATTTTAATTATCCATGTGAATGTAGTAAGTTCTAATGAATGAAAAGCTCATTTTTTTTTTTGCTTTAAAAAGTTTATTAAAGTATTTAATAGCCTTCGTGGTTTCTAAAGTTTAAATTTAAGAGTCAGCCGCTGAGAATCTAGGATCAGCTCTAATCATTAAAGGCCCAGGAGAGACACCCCATTTCTCCAGA